TAATTTGCACTAAAATTTTAATCTATAAAAATTAATATTATTTTACTAAAACGCTAAAAGTAAACGAAAAAAATGGTAAATACACTCTTTTGGAAAAAAAAAAAAAATCGAAGCACCAAGAAGGACCTTTCGCGACATTGACGAAATTTGGTATGCAAAAACATCTTGATCGAACTCGCAAATGATCAAAGTTTCAGGGCAAATGAACAGGAATTGCGATCATAGCGCGCATTTCTAGGGCACAATTCGCAAAGTATAAAACCAGTAACAGAGACGGAAAATTTATCATTTCTTGTTGCTGCCATTGTAATTCCGTAAAGAAGCAACTAAAGATGCCATTCCGCCGATATCGAAGACCTTACAGACAACTAAACGACTTCGGACGTGGTCGCATTGTAGGGTTGCATGAAGCTGGGTAGTCATACCGAGAAATAGGCCGTTATTTGCAGCGTACAGACACTCCTGTGCAAAGATGTTGGCAGCAATGGTTTCTACAAGGAAATTGCCGACGAAATGAAGGCCCTGGAAGGCCAAGAAGCACAAAATACCTCTCTCATATTTCTGGACTGTCTTCGTGGCGGTTGATATTCTTCCTTGGCCAGCAAGGTCACCAAACCTTTCACCAATCGAGCATGTCTGGGACATGGTAGGCCTTCAGATTCGGGCTCTACAAAATATCGCAGATCTGAAGCGACAACTGATGAATGTCTGGCAGAATATGTCGCAGGATGACATTAGGAACCTCTGCCACTCCTTGCCTCGAGGAATTCAAGCATACATTGCCGCCAGGGACAGTTCGACCAACTACTAATTTAAAAACTCAATGGATGATTGTGATCCGTGAACAGGTACTATGATTTTCATTTTTTAATCATTTTATTATCTATGTATGGAGCTACACACATATTCAATTTCATCAAAAACAACCATTTCCTCCATGGTACTTCGATTTTTTGCAAAAAAGTGTATTTTAGACAGGGCAGTCGGTCTAATCACATTCAATAAAGTGAAATTCATAGTCAATCAGACAAAATACCTCTCATGACATTGTTAAAACGTAATGTTCCGAAGCTTGCTAATAGTTAAGACTGCTTAGAGCTAAAGTTAAAGTTTCTCCTAGAAATAAATTTCCCCTTTCAAATCGCTACCTTTATAAATTGTAAGACATATTATGTTAATGGTGGAGAAATTATTATTAATTTGATGATGATTTTATTTTCTACTACTTGAAACTAGTATACATATCATGAATTTAGTATACATATCATGAATCCTCGAGATTATGAATTCCTGTCAACAACCGTTAGACAATTAAGCGCGCAGAGTATTAAATAATAAGGAGTCTGTACGTATGCATGTCTTCGTATTGTGGAAAAACGGCGGCAGCTGGAGACATCAAATTTTGAACAAAAGTAGTCCTCTATTCGGATATTCGCTCCTCAAAGACCGAACTTTGAATTTCAAGTTTGTGTTTTGTTCATTTCACATTTTATACGAATTTCATGAATTTCGAATTGACAAACTCAGCAATTAAAATCGAACAGTGGCAATACTTCTGTGAATAAAACATATTGTTATGAAATGTCTAGCTGCAGTAAGATAGCTTCCCCGCAAAAAGGGTTTAGGGTTGCCAGAAAAACGGCAGGGGAAGGCAGGGTTGCCACATTTGGCGAGAAATCGCCTATTTGGCGACAACCGGCAATATGCCATAGATGGATGGAGAACCTTCTAGAAGGAATTCTTACAGGTTTGGACCAGAATGTTCTCGAAGGCAGCCCAAAAGCAACATAAACCCTGCCTGCACGCGGAGTAGTAGTTAGTCAGTCAGTCAGTATCTCGTCGAGCGAGTTGATCGTCAGTCTTCTGTCGAGAATGTCTCTTAGTGCATCTCGAGTTAGCGCATCGTCGAGTTTTTATCTTATACCTTTTTATCTTAGCGTGTGTTGAGCTCCGGAAACGACCGGACCGATTCGAGAGCTGCACTATAGTGTATCTAGTGTATCATCGAGTGCATCGTGAGTTGTAGTGTGGAGAGTCTCGAGAATACGTTGTCAGGACTTGTGTTTCTCTTGATTTTCTTTGGCAACATGCTATGCCCTGAATAAAGAACAGGGAGCTTACTCAAGCTATGTTCAAGATTTGTGTATAACAGACGACCCAAGCAGGAAGGGTATACGAAACCCTTTATTTTCAATACTTTACAGGCACTTCCGAACTTCGGAATACAGAGACCAACCACTTGTGGTCTGAACGTAAGAATATAAAACTACTAACTAAAACTCTAACTAAAAGCTAACTTTGAATTAATATACAAATGCCTAGCACTAAGACTGGCCTTTATTTAAAAAGGGTACGTATGTAGTACGCCGAGCTGCTGAAACTACAATACGTTTGCAAATATCAAGAGGGCTAAACCTCTCGCCTTAAAGGCAACCAGCAACCGAGTGAAAACTCGTAAAACTGCAGTGGCAAGCGGCTTGCTTCCTAAAACTCCTTCTCTCTTCCTCTTGGCAAAAAGCCACAACTTAAGTACTTGGGCGTTAACAAGACAATTTGCATAAACAAGTTAAAGCATTTAACTCTGGCCGGAAGTAGAAAATAAGAAGTGATAGTACAGTTTTAAAATAAAATAAACGTTAGTAAAACTTAGGATCCTTCTTACAACGTTGAGTTCCGAGAACGACCGAACCGAGTTGGGAGCTGTGCTATAGTGCCTTGCCGTGAAGCTGTCTTCACCGTTTTAACTTGATAGTCTGAAGGCTGTGATGCTGATTGTTTCAGCGAGCATTTCGTAGTTTTTCGACGACTGTAAACGTGTTTTTGGAGCTGTCCTGAGTAATACTGGCTAATAAATTGGGTTTTCATTCTTCATCAAATGTTGTCGTCAGTCTCTTCAAATCCACGAACCCGTACAAGAACGCAACAACATTCATTTCCAGCTCATCAAATTGTTGCCATTCGGCAAATTGTTAGACATTTCTCTTTCACTTTTAGTCAACAAACTCGGCTATTTAAAAGAATTGTGTTGCTATTGCCTAATATGAAATAACTTTCATCTTGCACATGTCAGTCGTGAAAGCGTAACCTTTCAAATTTAATCTCTCTTTGATTTCTTGATTCATAAACTAAGCGAGTTCAAAGCAAGAAACGCAGTTCTTAAAAATATTTTTTCTAATTTTTAATCTGATTGATTTAAATAAAAATGTATCATGAGGTTTTTAATTAGAAATATTTAATATTTTTATGAAATGACACCAGCTAGACCAGGATTAAAACCCTTAATAAGTTTCCCTTTTTATAATTACTATTTAGGTCCCTAGTATTTCATAAATATAAGTTTAATTTATTTTCAGCTTTATACTGTGCATATATGTCATGTATGGATATGTATGTTACTTTTTTATTTTTCACTGATTCGATTTAAGTGCTGCATGAGATGACTTTGCAAATGACAGAGAAGAAATGCAGAAAAATTGTCTCCGGCATTATAGTCCAAAACTACATTTAAATGAAAACGAATAGGGTAACAAAGTTATTGATAATGGGAAAGAGAAGTGTTTAATATGTTTCATAGGGACTTCAGAAACCAAGTTTTAGATTCTCTCGAATTTTCAGTACTGTCAGATCTTAGTGACTCTACGGTCTTCCTTATAATCAAGTTCGTCAAACCTTTGTTCCGCCGTTTTCTGGCTTTCTATTAAATGTTCTGTTTCACTTGCATACTGAAAATAAATGCTCTGTTTTACTCGCATTAAATATAACAGATATTAGGTGGACCGTACTAACTTTCCAATAGTATTCCATATTTGCATCAGAAGTTATCCAATAAATGAACTGGCCATCCAGCTGTCTACAACAAAGCATATAATACCTGCTTTCCTCGATCACAGGACTGACAGAATGGTGTGTGATCAGATGTCCGCCCCCCCTCTCTACTGTGATTGACTGGAATGTGAAGCAAATTTCGGCCTAACTAAATTGCCAGATGCTCATCTACATTGTCGCAAAGGGTACACGCATTGAGAAGTTTTAAGGTATGAAAATGCTGTTAACATTTTTCATGCTATCAGTTATTTTCTACCTTCTTCCAGTATGTCTTCATGGTGTAACGGTAGCATACTCAGCTCGTATTCGAGAGGTTCAGGGTTCGAATACCGGCGAGGGCACTGCGCATTCTTTCCGTTTCTATCATCAGAACCCTAATGACTCTACAAAGGCACCCGAAGTATGGACAATTCATCACCGCCACGATTTTGCGATTGAATCCCCAGTCGCCCTTTAAAAAGGGAGAGTATATATAAGTTATTTTCTCCCTCTTTCCAACATGCCTTGATGTATAAAAGTAACACATTCGGCGCGTATTTGAGAGGTCAAAGGTTCGAGTCCCGGAGGGAGCATTGCACATTTTCCCCGTCTCTAGCATCAGAAACCCTAATTACTCTACAAGCTGTATTATTATACACTCCTTTGGTGCAATATATTAGTACACTTCAAGTCTCTGACACCGTTATGAACCATCTAATGATAATTTTTATTTTCATCATTAAGTACTGCGCTTGCATTATTCACTACTGCAGTATTTTCACTTGCATTATTCATTAGGATGTAATTATGATTATTTAGAAGTTTCTTTCGAAATTGTAAACTTCAAATTTCAGATTTATAGGTCTGGAAATCACAGATGACCCTGCAAAGCTTTTATCTTTCTTTTCCTAGTAGGTAAAATACATCTGCCAGTAAAGCTTTTGAAGTATTCTCCATCAAGTTATCAACATGATACTGTCATCCAACTGATGTTGATAAACATAAAGGATACAAAATAATTTTATCTGTTTTTCTAGTGCGCACTTTGAATATCCTTTATATAAGAAACGCCCAGTTTAATCTTTTCTAACAGTTACTGGATAATATGTCTAAGATAACTTGACGTTAAGTGTAAATGGAATGAAAGAAATTTAAAGTTTTAATAAAGTAATTAAGTTAAGGAACGGTTAGGAAACTAATAATAGATTTATTTTTCAAACATGAGTATTAATGCTTTACTATATGTATGTATAATATGCCAGAAGATTGAAGTCAAACTGGACACCTCGATCTTTGAGTTGCTGTCTGTAGTCTTGCACTTGTCGTATTTGATACTGATCTTCGAAAGAAGCAAAGTGGAATATCAAGGAAATTACTTGCAGCGCTAAAAGAGAAAACATTTTTCAAGAACTACTTAAACCAAATGTAAATGATTAAAATATTCCAGAATTATGTATCAAATTTTGGTTAATTTTAGTTAAACTTTCGATCATACTCTCTTCACGACTACCAGAAGAACATTTAGCAAGTAAATCGTAAACATATTAATTACCCAGGTTCTATTGTTATGAAGTTAATGAGTATATTGCTACAAGCAATTTGTGAAATAAATGAAAATTAGGTTAGAAAAAATGGGATGTGATATTCTTGCTTTTTGTGTATATTTATATTCCACTAATAAAAAAGGCTTTCTAAATTTAGTATGCCTAACTTATAAACTATAACACAGCAATTAAATAAAAAAATATATTCCATTTCATTTCCCTACCAATAACTTTCAAAAGATAATTGTTAAAGAACTGATTCAACACATATTTATATTGAGATAATATTTGCATACTATGCAAAACAAATAATGCTGAAATTTATTAAATTTCTAGTTTTAAAATTTCTTGGAAGTTATTTGTTTGCTGCATAATTGCAAATCGTTTATACATTTTATGCTTATGCAATAGATTTATTTTAACTTCATAATTAACAAGTAAAGGTTCTCCTACTGTACAGAAGGTATGCGCCCTCAGTAGCCTTGAACTCGGGCTCAGATCTTGGAAGAAGGCATGCATGTTTTTAATTGTTCAGTTCTTTGCTACATAAAAGCATTTAAAACACTATTTAGCTAAAAGTTTTCTTGAGATGTTGGAGGAGGAAAAAAGGATAAGATACCTTCGGATCCATTATACGAGGATTCTCCTTCAAAACTGAACAAATTCGTAAAATCTTCTATAAAGTGGCCAAAACCTAAGCCAATGAGTGGATCAATCCTTTCGCTTTTGGGCATGATGAATTCGTGAACTTGATCTAATGTTACTGTCAAAAACGTGGCATAAACCACAACAACAAAGTCCATAGGAACACAATTTTTCTTACAAAACACAGTACGAAGTGGTATAAAGTCGGCCTCTAATGAACTACAGAGCAAATGAAACACGTAATACGGAATAATTTTCGCAACATTTCACAACTTGAATTTCAGTAATCGGTATGGTAGCGAGATTAACGATTTGGAGATTACGATAGAACTTTGCTGTTTAAATGTTTGTTGCAAGTTATGGGGAGTAAGCGGAAAAGACATTACATTACCAGATTGCTTGCCAAAACACGAACTGCATCTTTTGTATCTTAGACAACAGATTTTTTTTCTACGAAGACTTTTAATGAATTCTTACTTAAGCTACTTCCTGTTCTCAGCTGTATAGCAAAGGTTCGACGAACATTTGTTCTGGTATTAACGTGATAAAATCTTCGTTCACGAATACGTTTTTTCAAGAATACTAAACGTTAAATGAACACTAAATGTTAAATGTTAAATGAATTCTTTAACAAGGTGCATTTAATGTTCTTTCAAGAACACTAAATGCACCTTGTTAAAGAATTTAACGAACTTAAAGAAGCTGGGATCTTATATTCATCAAACATGAATGAAAAAAATTGCGCTAATAAAATATTTAATAAATATGATTTTATTTTATTTCGAACAATACTCCGAACGGAAAACTAAATTTTCTATCATTTGTGACAAGTTTCTGTTATAGGAGAACGAAGTGTGGTTCGGAGGCAACATTTCAGAAGGTCTTTAGGGTCTTTAGGAATCTTTAGGGTAGACGAGAATTAACTCTTTGCTGAAAATCGTTTATAACGTTTTAAATAGTACTTCACGAAGTTTCATGAAACAAAAAAGACTTTTTTTCCCTTACAATCGCAAGGCTTTGACATATAATACCTTATTTATTGCATTGCAGGTATCAATGGCAGACCATGGAGCAATGTCTAAAGCTTGTTCAGCTGGCACAACGGTACGACGCATGGCGGTCCATGGTGCAAATACAAAGATGATGATGAAATCAAAAAGGACATCGTGCCTCTATAGATGAAAAGAGCATTAAGAATCGACACTCGAAGCTAATGGACACCGATTCTGTATCAGTTGCTAGAAGACGCGGTCGCCCCTCAACGTCCAGGAAGGAGAAAAATATGCAAGTGGTTCAGGAAATGTTCCTTCGAAGTTCTCAGAAATCCCAAAGGCAGACATCGCGCGAAAATATTTTAACCTGATACAGAGTCCGAACCAGGATCATACCGGGATGGTAGCTCAATTCGCTTACGCAAGGTTAGACGTTGCGCATGGTCGACTGGCAGTGACGCAAATGAGATATCATATAATTAATTCTACCATTGTAAGGAACAAAATGTTCTTTGTTTCAGGATGAAAATTCATTAACACAAAAAACTACATTACAAAACTAAATTAATGAGTTTAAGCGAAACCTGATAATGAAAAGTTTTAAATTAGGAGAAAAAAAGAAACATCCTCAGGTTCAGATTTGAATAAAACTCAGAACTTCTTATTCAAAGTTTACATGAATCTAAGGTTGCTTTATTGCCTAATTTGTAAGGAATTTACCTGAATTCTCTTGTAGGACTGTTTCACATAGTCTTTCAGCTAGACGTACAGGAAATACTCCAATTACATTAATACGAATTAAGTCCTTGCAAGTTTGACACAAGTTAATGATGGCATCATCTAAATGAAGTATACTGAAGAAACCGAAATCGAGGTGAATGATCTCTAAAAGTATAAGTGCATTCATTAAAGGAAATATAAGTTGTAAATTAAATAAAAAATTTCAGCAGCTATCCTGAACATTATAATCAATTGCCGATACGAATGCTAATAGAAAAAACATGGCAGTTTATGGTATATCGAAGATATATGACAAACAACAGAATTACTTTCGGACGAACGAGTAATGCTGCTTAACCTTACTTTTAATTATTTTTCAGTCTTGTTGAATGCATATGGAAAATAATACTTATCATTTGACATAAAATTCTAAAACAGCGATTGCGAACCAATTGCCCAAAAAAATTTGGGCACAGCATTATTTGAGGAATTTAGGTGCTTATTATCAGCACAGTCAGTCTACACCTGACTATTTTCAAAACTGTTTACCTTGCTACCAGCGACCATGGCTAACACAGGCAATTTGTCGAAACTGGCCGTTAGTACGTAACGTGAACTGAAGTGAGCGTTAAACATAGTATTTATCGTTAATACAAATATTCGTTAATACTATGTTAACGTTAATACTAATTTCGTTAATACAAATGTTTTCTTAAATTTGTGCAAAATATCTTTACAACTTTATGTATTATCAATATGGCTAGTTCGACGAAAAAAGGAAAAACTGTAAGCTAAGTGTAAGAAAGAACTTCAAACTTGGTGGACTGAGAAATTTAACATGATTATTAAAAGCAATAAAGCGGTATACATTCTATGTTGTGGAACAACATTATGTAGAACTCTATTTGTAAAATGACATTATGAAACAAATCATAAATCTCTTTGTCAAAAAAGCGAACCAGAAATAAAAGAAATCATTGCATATGCACTTTAAGACATTGTATTCATTGCATGTGCAATGGGTGGCATGGATGTCTGCAATCACACTGCATTCATTGCATACATTGATTGCTTTCATTGCGTGTGCAAATAAATAGAGAAAATAAGCACTCGATATCTATGATTAAATATATTAACAGGGATTGCTAATGCAAGTGCCGCAAGGTTTTCGGTTGCAAATGTCATTGCCCGGCACGGCAAATCTTTTGGCGAAGAAGAATGTTTTAAGTAAGCCTGGTTAGCATACGCCCCATCACTGTTTGAAGATTTTCAAAGTAAATGTAAAATAATTCAGAGCATTTAAGATAAATATCTAGAAACACAGTAAAAGATAGAATACTAAAACTAGAAGAAAGTATAAAAGAACAACAAAAAAGACATCAAGTAACTCTTTCTCTCTTTTTTAAAAATACAGATGTAAGTAAACTGCTCGTTTAGCTCTTTTTGCGCGATACTTTGCAATAAACAACATCAAGGACAAGTTAATTACAATAACATGGTTGCCAACAACTACTGTGAGCTCAGATATTTGTACGGCTGTTATAAATTCATTTCCTGTTAAAGAAATAGATTTTAAAGTAAAATTGTTTCGATAACGACTGATGCTGCTTCCAGTATGATGAACAAAAATGATGGCTTTATCAGTTTATTTCAAACACGCATTGGACATTCGATTTTTGAATTCCGTTGCATCATACTTCAACAAGCCTTGTGCGCGAAGGATGGTTTCGCCTCCCTTGCTAATATAGTACTTGTTGATGATAAATGTGCTTGTTGATGTACAACAATGTTCTCTGATTGAGCCATCGTAACTTACTTGAATGATTTGTTGATTACTTGAAAGGAATTGACATCTTTTCAATGATTCGAATAAGCTTCAAGGTCTAAACAAGACAGTAATTTTTATGATAGCCTTTTGAGGCTTTGAGGTTAAACTGTAAGTTTTAAATAAAGGTACTTTTTTCGAAAACTACAACTATTTCCCAAACTTGAAACATTTTATCCGCGATTTTGATTTACACGAAAAATCAGACCAAGCGAAAGTCACTGAAGAGTTTTCTTTGGTATTCAATTCTTCAATAAAGAAGTTTCGTCGAAGTCTTCTCGGTTTACAGAGTTATAAGAAACACTCAAATTTATTATGTACCCTGATGTGATGCCACTTGATACATTTGTATAAGTTTAATTGGTTGGTGATTGAAGAAACTGAAATGCAGCTAAATGATTTCCAGTCTAGTTCAATATAGCTAAAAGTTTATGAAAATAAAGGAAAAGTTGGAATCAATCGAAGTAGAAAGCCTATCAGGGAATATGAGCAAAACTGCTAATGCTAAAATGATCGAAACGTGAAACTCATTTCCAGACGTAAGTTATCTATAATTACAGTTATTATGTTACCCCCCCCCGAAAAAAACTTACATTTGCTTGCTATTTTAACAATATTTTTATCTACCCATTATGAGTAATTATTTTCAGGAATGAATAAAATTAAAGATTCGCTGAGAAACTATCTGTCAGATGACTCCAGGTCAGCTTTACTTCTGCTAAAAGTAATAAAATATTAACCTAGTATGAATTATTAGTAATGTTATGGTTACTGTCTAAATGTTGACTTTTGATTGCAATGATTGCAAATAAAAAGTATTAATAAAGAAGTGTTTAAAATGTTATTTGTTTTCTCACTAAGTAAACAATCTATGTTCGCGCATCATGGACACATTAAATATTTCTTTGAAGAAACTGGCACCTAGATGTATAGAATATTTAAATTATCAAAGTGTGCATGGGAAATATACTGAATTTTGAATGTAGTGGACGATATGTGAAACTTGCTTAAATAAAGCTAACGCCTGAAATACACTTATGCTCTTTGTGAAAAAACATCCTTCTTCATTTAATCAAACTTTCCCGATGACATTCTTTGAGTGATGTATGACTCAAAAAGACTTCTTTTAAAATTCCAAGTAAAGTTTAAATTTGCACTCATGAGGCTATTGTTTAAATCATTGAGATTTTTAGGGGGAAGAGTCCTTCACTTTCAGATTAAAATAACATGCCGAATAATGATTCTTGTTGTCTGACTTCTCCAGAAACGTTTCACTTTCGTTAGACTAAAATTTGAAAGAACTTCGTTGATATGTAACTATAATTTAACTGCAGATCACACTGGATCTTTAAGGCACAATTTTATGCTCAATTTGTGTTCTACAGATCGTAGACACGAATAAAGCAATACAATTACTCTTTACATTTGAGATTTTATTCTATAATTCTCCGGTTCTAAAAGTTAGTCACACGTACAGATTAAAATTTAGATTGTCTCCTGATAGGATTCTGTAAACATTACTGCAATAACTCACAGCTAAAAAAACATTCTTGAAGATCCTACTCGTTGTCATGTAATCTAACTAGTCTTTCTAAAGGGAAGTGTGCCTCTGTGTTTATTAACCAAGCAAACAGCAACAGGTGTATAGAATCTACACATGCATTTTAGAATTTATTCACGGAAAGTTTTACCAATACTTGAAATTATGTATGTTTTAAGAGGAAAAAAACGATAAGCTAAAAATTGGAAAACTTACGTAAACTTTCTGAAAACGCAGTACTCAAATATTGCACAGTTGTAGACCCATCTGTCTGTAAGTTCCCATCAGTCCGCAAGGTGTAACCACAACTATATTTAACATTATTCACTTGAATTGCTTCAGGAAGAAGACGTGCAACATCTTCGCGTCGAACGATTTCTGCTGGAAAGTATTTAAAGCGATACTTAGGGTCTAGAAGTGTTATTAAAAATGCAATTACCCCCGTAAAAATTTTCTGACTATTTATCTGTTATCGACGTTTTCATTTGATCGCAACATGGAGAGCACGTAAGGACTGGCTTTCTGAATATACGAATACTTAAATGAAGGTTTCTTTGAGGGAGCGTTTTTCCAAAGACATAGAGAAACTAATTCCTTAAGGTTATTGTGAAATGAAAGTAGGCAAAATCCTAGTGTTCCCGGCATTAGGTAATTACTTAAGAATCTTTTGTTTCAAGGTCTATAGTATAAAAACACATAAGTTAGAAGTTTGAAGCAATGCCTTGAGTATGATTTTAGGTATTTTTGTACTGAAGTTTGTCTTAAATGTTTAGAATGGTCTCATCCGCATATACTCTTATTGCTTTTGGGCCTAGAAAACATTACTTTTACATTATCATTGTTCATGGTGATTTTTATATTACGGTAGATTGATTAAGGCGAAAATTGTCCTTATGGGTATGTAAACAAGTGTTTATCAGAGGAAGTATGAAATCATAATTAGCTTTTCTAAATTTTTTACAGTTTCCTGAACAAAACACTTCCGTCATAGTTTTTATACAGAACTGGAAGGCGCAAATGCTATTCATACGGATCTAATACTCTTTTCGTTTATGTTCATTCTACGTTCAAATATTTAAGTGATATTTTTATATATCTAATTTCCATCGCCCCAGTACTTAAATTACATAAAACGGCATTTGATTTAAAAGAATGTAAATATTTCATTTAAACTTCTTAATTATCTAAACCGCTGGTTTTCCCTAATTTTCTAACAAGTAAGTAAAATGCCAGTCTATTTTGTTAGTTAATAACAGTTTGATTGTCTGCTCCCTAAATTTCTTGTTTCTCTTTACTTCCTCTTTTCAGAATCCAGCAATGAATCATTAATTAAAAAGAAAATTTGATCAAATGCCATGCTACGATATTCAAGTGAAAACTTAATGTAAGTTAACTAGAGTTCCTATTTGTATCACTCCGATGCTAATCTAAAATAAGCAAATTTCTCGAAAGGATAAATGAGTAAAGATTTATTTGCTTTAGGTTGAAGTAAAAACAATACAATTTAGGCACTTGTTTCCGTGCTTTTAATTAGTTGTCGAGTTATTTATTTGGGCAGCTGTTTAACAGTTGTTTGAGATGCAAGATATATGTGAAATATTTAACAGTTGTATGTATGCTCTAGATAAAAACTATACGTGACTATATAAGGTACTAATTATAATTCTAAATTATTTTTATTTCCAATTACGATTCCAGTTTGTAATTAAACCTAGTTAAAGCAATTTTAGAAGTTTTTATCGTAATTAATGAATTAAAAGTTATATTTCTGGTAGCTTAACCTGGGCCCTTTTTTCTCAATAATGGGTCACGCTTCAAGCTATACGACGGCTGGGACAGATATGACATTGGCAATGTCTTTACATCATTATCGCTGAAGGCCATTTATTGTATGCTGTGGTAATTAGGCTTTGGCTATGCATTGTATTTTAATGTGTTCCTTTCTCAATGAACGTTACTTAAAAAGTAACGTTACTTTAAAAAAAATATAAGAATCAAATTTTCTAAGTTTACTAACAATATATTATACGTATAATTTGTGTACCTTATTTCGTCGTTTTGTTGACAAAACTTGCGTTTCTGGTGAAGTGTGAAATAATACAGAAATATTGAAAGCTACTAACCGAATAATGTAGTACATTCATTCATCAAGAGGCCAGTCATTTATTATTGACCTTGGTAATAAATATCTGAAAAATTCCAATATTAGTTTATAAAGTATTTCTCCCGCCTTCCTAGCGTGCCTTCGTGGTGTAGTGGTTCTGGACGCTGGGCCGGTATTCCAGAACTCTGTGGTTCGATTCCCGGCGAAGGCGATTGCTCATTTTTCATCTTGCCTGCTTCCAAAAAATAACTAATGTCTCTACAAGTTGACAAAAAAAAAAAAAAAAAAAAAAAAAAAAAAAAAAAGGTTACGCTCTTTCCAAGACAATTCAGTGACGTCATTTAACGTACACAAGTGGGAAAAACTATGATACAAAGAAAGAAGAGAATAGTTGCTTTTGAGCAGAATATGATTCACAGACGTCACGAAAGAGCAAACATTATAGTATAATGCCTTATCACACAATAAGTTTTAATATTCAAGAATTCCCGAAATGAAATACAAATTTCATATTGAAACTTACTGATTTCAAATGTTACTAGGGCATTGCGATGTGTCTGACGAAATTTCAGCCATGATAAATATGGAATGGTTTTACTCAGAGACTCTGTATAGTGGCATCGAACGTACAAATATTTGATAAAGGAAGTTTCTGGAAAGCAGAGAATATCTAGAACTTTTGTGGAGACACATTGATAACTGAGCTTTAATATTTCCAGATTTGGCAACAACTTGAAGTATTCATGGAACTCGGCATCACTGAAAGGAAACAATTTTGTGACTAATTTTTCAAAAATTTATACCAAAATATTAAAATTACAGTAATGTTTCAAATAGGCTCGTTGTAACTATTTTGAGCTAGTCTCTTGAAATTTAAAACTGGTAGGTAAATAGTACATTTTCGTGCAAATAGGAAACAAAAACATGATATTTTTATCATAATAGACTTGTGCTTCATTGCAAGAATTTAAATCAGTGTAATAGTTTTCAGAGCATTTAAAACAGCAAGCATTATTCTAAAGATATGAAATTCATTAAGAAATGTACCAAAAGTAGTTTTACCATTCATTTTGTTTAATATCATGTTCTTCCGAATACGTATTTTATAACTATCTATTCAGACCTAAAGAAGAATTGGTATCAATAATATGTCTACTTTGAATGATTCGAACTGTAATTAAAAAATAGTAAATTTCCTGATCTGAGTTCATGATAAATCTCAGTAAATCTCAGACCAAAACTAGAACATGTTTAATGAAATAATATTTATCATGCTGTGGAAGATCTCTCTCCTTATACGTTAATCCAAAAATTTGAAGTGTTTCTGAAATATCTTGCTCCGAAAATAATGATGTTCAAATTTGCAGTGTTTTTCATCATCTTATGTAACCTTTCTTTGCTTTGGAATGCTACTTCAAATGTTAATTTACTTCCAATGTGTTTCAGTACCACTGCGTATAATTTTAGTCTATTTTTTATAAGCAGGAATGGAATAGAATATTATTTCAGACTTACTTGCTTATGTCAATGTCGCTCTCGAAAAACTGAATCAAACCCAGTTCTGTCAAAGAAATATTTTTGCCAATGATACATTTTAGAATCTCCATTCCAACCTGCTCCGAAAACCACGTCTTCTGCACCAGGAATTTTGTAAGGCAAATTTGAGACTCAAGAAACCATTTGAATGTGTCCAATATTGAAATTTCATCTCTAGAGCGCGAAGAAGAAGTTTCTGTGTGCCACCTGAAGTTTCTAAGTTCAAAGGAATGTAGCTTCGAAGATAGGCCTAGGCATTCGAACAAAAGCTTCATATTATTGGCACTTCCTTTTTTAAATGGACGTTGACGGCCTTTGAATACGAGTTTCAGGTGTTTTAAAGCGGAAGCAAATCTGTAGAAAATAAAAATTAGCCTGTGAACAAAAGTATGCAATGTAACTGGAGTTTCAGAAATCATACGTTATATGCAGAAAGTTTCTGCATAAATATTTGTATTTCATTTATTAATAATGATCACCATTAAGTAGTTACAGCTGATAACAATTAAGATTAATATAAATTATTTGGCTTTTATTGCTGGTTATTACTTGGAATGTTCTTGTCCACTGTGAGAAAAATTCTGTGTTTACAAATTAGATACTGTTATGCTTATATTTTTAATATTAAAAATATAATCTAATAATATATGGTTGTTGCTCGATCTAGCATAGTCTCAATGGAACTAGCTCTTTATTTCACATGAAGAGACACATTAATCACTCTGGGGAACAAATTGTAACACAACTGTTGTTGAGTTCGATTGTTGAGCTGTTTTAGAGTTAAATGATAATTTCAAAAATGTCATTAGTTTTCGTCTATCACGTCAAGATTTTTATCAACACTTTATGTGAATGTGATCATTCTCCACGGAATCGATCTTGAATCACAAGAAGTACTACTGCTCTCGTGTTGGCTGACATAAACCCTCTCATTGCTCCGGGTGAATGACGCCATAGAAGACCAGCTACAGGTGCATACTTGACTAGACTAGTTCAGTTACTCCTAAGATACTGTAGTGAAACACTGTGCGTCGCTGTGATATAGCGAGCGCATTTCGAGATGGAACCGGAGTTTTTGTTTGCACACAATGTTAGCAGTGTTTAGTTTTCATTTATGTATGAATAGAAACTTTTAATTATATCTGCCTCGGCAAGTTAGCGTCGTATGTATTTAAACATCCCCGATTTGTTATGTTATATATGTGGCAGCTTTATTATTCCCAGTTAAAGGACAAACATCATACATTTGTCAGGCAAGCTTATTATGCCTATTTTAAAGTGAGAATTGGTGATCAAGATAAATTATGGGCCCCTGATAAAGTGTGCAAGCAGTATTTTAAGACTTTACAGATGTGAATCAAGGGAAAGGCCTTATAAATTTTTATTTGGTATACCTATGATTTCGCGAGATCCCAAAGATCACTTAAGTGATTCTTACATTTGTATAGTGAAAATGTCAGGATATAACATGAAAAACAAATGTAAAATAGAGTATCCTAGTTTACCATCAAACTAGATGCCCAGCGCCTCACTTTGCTGAACTTCCAGTGCCAATGTCAGTATTCGAAGAATTACCATCTTTGGAAATACAAAAATAACTATCGAATTGATCCCAAAGACAAAGAATTTGAAACTGAAGATGAATCCATTCATAAAGTATTTCACTAGTTTGAGTTGAATGATTTGGTAGGATATTTGGGACTAACCCAAAAGCTTCAGAGCTGTTAGCCCCAAGAAACGAGAAAAACTTCCTTGAAGAAGGAGTTAAGGTATCCTACTTTCGATCAAGTGAATGTGCCTTTAAGCAGAACTTTCGAAGGGATGGATTTGTGCATTTCCGTAACATACATAATTTAATGGAAGCGTTGGAAATTTCATCCGATAAGGCAACTAAATGCCGATTGTTTATCGATAGCTCAAAGCAAAGCTTGAAGTATGTACTCCTCCACAATGGAAACTTACTTAGTGCAGTACCAATAGGCCATTCAGTTTGTTTGCGTGAAGAATATGAAGACTTAAAGAGATACATTGATTTGCTGTCATATCACACGCGTCAAAGGCTCTTCTGTATTAAACTTAAGATGATCTGCTTCCTCATTGGCCAGCAAAGCGTATGTTCCACATATCTCTGTTTTTTATGTATGTGGAACAGAAGAGCTCGCGAGAAGAATTAGGTGCAGTCGAACTAACCCCCAAAATCTGACCTGAAACCTCGTGATCCAAGCATTCCACATCAGCCACTTGTCAACAGAAAAATCCTTATATTTCCACCTCTGTGTATAAATCTGGATCTCACGAAGCAGTTGTTAAGAGTTTTGCCTACTGAAGGAAATCCTTTCAAGTCAGCATTTCCTGGATTTTCCTCTAAAAAGGGAAAAGCCGGTGTGTATGATGGTCCACAGATTCGGCAACTCCTTAAAGATGAACATTTCATCGGAAAAATGACAGAACTTACGTGTATGGATGATGATTCTTCATCTTCAGAGCGAAATAAAACCAATATACCTACAGTGTTAATACTTTTCTAAATTTTATTTGCTTTTTTGAATCTTTATTAATTTCATCATTCAAGACATTTACTTCATGTCCGATCTAAGAAATATTTTTCGATTTCTTAATTTGTTGCAGGACTAGGGCATAAAATCCTTTATCAAATACCATTTTTATAATTCGCAAAGAGATGTAGAGTTCTCCACATTGTAAAGGCTAATTTGCTGTTGAGCATGAAGAATCTTAAGAACTAGTAAGCGAATAATCGCTTGAGTTCGTGCAACATGAAACAACAAGATGGAAGTGTAAATAACCCTTTATTATTCAGATAAGATTTAACAAAACTCCGTCTTGGAGTGTTACAATAAAAGCCGACACCTTGGGCTTGAGCTTAAGAGGCTAAGATGTAAGAAACTAAAACTAATCTAAAAAGATATAGCTGAAGCTATGAAGATTCTAAGAGTTGGCTCTTAACGCTAACTAATGGCGAACCTATCAAGGGCCTAAAGTACGGCCGATCGTAAAAATAGCTTATGAGAGAGTATCGCCAAAAGGCTAATAACTCTGATCTCTCTAACTCTCAAGTACTTGCGATTAAATACCGCTCTTCCTCATTATGTATTCAGACTTGATTCCAAAACTACGTTCTGGCCGGACGTAGTAAGTTGAAGTTAAGAATTTGACAGGAAGGGAACTTAAAATCTAACTGTTAATAAAATTAGCATTATCCTTACAAAGATTTATCTACTTTTCTTGGATTGCCGAAATTATTTCAATCCGTTCTTCTCTTATCTTCATCCGTCTTTTCAGTCTGCAACTAAGTCTTCACGTTTGACCGAAATATGAAATTCTGAGTCTATTATCCCCTCCAGAATAATTTCTCCGCTCCTGATCAGCACAGATTTTAGTTCTTTATTGTCAGTTTTTTCATTAGTAATGTTATTGGAATTTTTATTTTGGCAGTTAGTACAGATGAATTAATCTCATCATCAGGGTTTGAGCTCTGTGTCGTTATTGCTCCGGACATTTTGATACTGATGATTTTTATTAGTTATTTCAGGAAGAACAATTTGCGAGTTGTGTCGTTCTGTACCGTATGAATAATGTACAGGTTTGCTAGTATGTTTGGGTGCTTCAGATTTCGTAGGTTAAGTAACTGGTGGAACTTCCAATTTTTGTATTCTTAAATTAGTTTTTAAGTCTTGACGGGTTTTTTGTCTTGGATGCAAATGAAATCACATTATCTCCATATGCCTCTGTTTTGAAATAACCCGAATCATTCTTTTATACCTTGTTCAAACATTTTCGAATTCAAGCTTATCTGGTAACTGAGTAGGGGAAATTAGTTTAAATTGGAGAAATTATCAAAAAAAAGAAAAAAAGAAAAAAAAAAGAACGCTACCTTACTTCTCCTGATCAGTTATCATTAAATCTTTGAAGCTACTCAAGTCCTTAACCTATAGCACATTTCATTATTAGAAATAGTTCGCTATTTCCTTAGAATCTCGTGAGGATTTTTAGGGACTTTTCTGGTGCTGAAGAAACTTTTCGAAAATTTTCTGGGTTCATTTTAAATTTCTTAAAAATCTCTTTTGTCTTAAGAAACATATTTATTCTCTGGGGATATGTGAAAGATATCGTTTACAAGATAAGTGATTACAAGATAAGTCAGAATTAACAAACTGTAACGCAATAACCGCTGTGGATATCGATATGGTAACCCATACATGACAAGAACTGGTCATCTTTGACACTCTCGGTTACCCAGAAAAGAATATATAGTAAAAGAGTACTATACAAAAGAGTATTGTAATTTTTGAACTTAATCTGCCTATCAGTGCTATCGGTTTATTTGTAACTTCAATAGTTTATGATATATCAATAGTTAAAATGTGTTAGAGACTTGTAAATGCCCTTTATAAGTTTGAATACTGACGTGTTCAAGTACTAATATTATCTTAAAATTAAATAACTGTACTCATTTCATTGGTACGGATGTACCATTTGCACATGTATTAAACATGTATGTCACCAATTCGTTTCACCAATAGCCGATAGTCACCAATAGTTTGGACAAAATAACACTTTATAATACGTACGTTCTTTTTAAAACACGGTGTATTTCCACTTTTTAAATTTGCAGAATCTATAGAACGTTCCCATATTAATGTAAATGCATATACATCTAATATCTTATAAAATGTTTCGCTATTCCCTTTGCGCAATGTCTATTGATAATTTCTATCTATAACCCATATTAAACTTTAAAAGAGTCCTTCCCAGTGATCGTAAAAATTTGAGACCTTTCAAATATTATTGTTATAATTATTTTGTTTGATATTATTTTCTTCCTTTTATTAATTTTCTGATGATTGCACGAATTCTAATAATTGCTACGCAAACAATTTATGAAAGAAAGCATAATATCAAACTTTTATTCTCTGCTTAAACTTTAGAGCATGCGTTAAACGTTAAAATGCATATATTAGTAGAAGTAACCCGCTCTTCTTTTTATTTAGATAAAATAGCATAAAAAAAGAGTCAAATCTAGTGCTAAACAATGTTAAATATATTAATGCTAAAAAAAACTTACTTGCTGCGTTAACGATTAATTCTACTTTTAGAATAGCCAGTTGTTTCGACCGTTTGCCTAAAAGATTTTCCAGCTAGGAAATATCCCAGAATTTATGCCGAGGTCCTCTTTGCTTAAAAATATTCTGGGAAACAACGTCAAACAAACTTTCTGAGTTTTAGAGAATTCTATTTAAATGAAGCTACGTAAATTAAAAAATAGCAGACGATAACATGGCGAAAGAAAAAATTACTCTTACAATCATTGAAAAAAAAAAGAGACAGAGAGAAAGCGAATAAAAAAAATTCTTTAAAATGTTGATTAAAATTATTTATAATTTGAAAAATAGCTTTTCAGATAGTGTTAATAAATATTTATTATGCATCATTACTAAAATTGAGGATAAAAATTCTAGATAATTAATTCTTCGTAGAATTTGTTTGAAAATTTCAGGTGAAAAATATCTGTGGCAGTTCACTGCTTCTAACAAAACCCGTAAACCATATTTGGTGTTATTATTGCTTAAAGTAACTATGAAAGTATAATTAGTTAAAAATTCTTCATGATTTCATATACTACTGAAAATATCTTCCTTACTTGATCATAAATTCCAATGCACGTCTCGTATCCTCCGCCATTGAGTCAGTCTTAAAAGTGAACTGCATTTTCTTCCAAAGAGATGCGTTTTTAAATGCTTCTGCCCAACTTCGACAAACTAAAGAAGCGTTGAAACGATCTTGATGGCTTAGAAATTTAAAGATGTGACTCAAGTTCAATATTGGAAGACAAGACCAAGATGTTTCATTCATTTGCCTCACCTCTAAAAATAGGATTTTTTTTAATGTTTATAAATACTGTAATTTACTTATGTTCACAAAAAATTTTGCATTCTATTAGAACTCTAAATAGCTTAACAAATAAGAGATGTGATACTTCTCTATTGTTTAGATTGCTTTGTTGCTCAGAATTTTATTACTGTTGACGATTTTGTTGATAAAAGCATTGAGTTTGTTTCACATCCCTTTGTTACGGATTGTGATTACGAAAGAAACTTTTATTCTGCAACAAAAAAGTAGTGGTCAAATAACAAACAAAGAATGCACAAACTAGGAAATAATAGTCAAAAAGTATTATGGCATGCAAATGTATTTAAAGACAAATTCTGCAAAATTGCTCTAATAATGTATTGGGTCCCTTTGCTTATTATGAATTCACTGACACATAAATTTTGGTTAAGATTTGTTTCTAGTTTTTACCCTTTAATGGAGAGTTTTTCTCTAGGTACACTCCAAGTACTGCTGGAAATTTCTTGAAGTACTAAAAGTGTAATTGCTCGCTTTCACGCCAGATGTCTTCTCCTAATTAATTTACATTTATTCATTATTCTGCGCTGGCAACACGAATTAACGTTGCCGTGGTCAAGGAATTCGATCCCTAGAACGAGGCTGACTTATAACATTTAGTAATGTTAATTACAAATTTAAGAGTGGTGCTTGATGCATCCAGTAAATCTAAAAACTGTATGAGTAGGTCTGAAATTACAGAGATATTTTTTAGATTTTGACTAATTTTCGGATTTTCTAAAATTGCTTTCATAGCTGATGTGGAGGAGATATATCGTCAGATGATGGTAACCCCTGAGTATCAGAATTATTCATTGGTATTACGGCGATACAATTTCAGTGAAGAACTACGCATATACAAATAGAAAACAGTTACGTATGATCTTTCCTCAGCTTCATTTTTAGCAACTAGATGTCTCAAGCAGATAGCTACAAATTCCAAGGAGGAACAGGATGTATCACATGTACTGGAGAAGAATATGTATAAGGTTGACTCATTATCTGTTGCAAATAAAGTTAATAATGCAGTATCAGTATGCAAGAACATATCTTCGATTTTACACGCATATTTGATTGTATTGATTTGAAATGTGGATTTCGAGTTCTGCAGAATTCATGATGAAATTCGTGGAGCATTGTTCGCTGAATTCCAATTTCGAGACGTCTAATTCAAGTTCGAAAGTCTTAGGTCATTTTTTTTTTTTTTTTTTGGAATTCATCTACTGATATCTTCAATTTTAGATCCGTTAGGCCTTCTATCTTCATGCACTATATTGATTAAAATATTCGACCAAAAGCAATGCTTAGTTAAGGGCGATGACATTCAGTCATTCCCCGAAAGCTCCCAGACGACTGGTTGAAATTTCAAAAGGCAATCAATTCAGTGAAACCAATAGTATTATGTCAACTTAATATTATGTTTGTTTTGAGAGCTAGTAATTTAAGCAATTTCTTCTGAAAAGTAACCTGAATAATTATTCGCAGATTTTGTAGTATATTAACAAGGTAACTTACAAATTTAAACAAATAACTTCCCTTAATTGTACAAGATTTATAAGATTTATTATGAAATATGGATAAACCTCTCTAAGACAATCACCCCTGATTTCAGCTGATTTTGATCTTCTCGGAATTTAGGTTGGATTATTTAATTTAGGCATAGCAAATGAGCGCTATCTTCATCCCTACTTTGAACGACAGGCCTCCAGTGAATGGAATCCGATATTTTTCATACCCCTTTGTCTTTACCAACAGCCTTTTCGAAAGGAGTTTATGTCGACTGATTTTAAGGCCATTCTTTTTCGAGGCAAAGTAGGAGAATTTATTGGCCTGCTCTAATTTTCATTCTAGCCAAAGCGGCGGTCTGCCCTGGATTTGGTCATCTTAGAGAGCTGATCTTCAGCACCGATGTTTATTTATATACTTAAAAGGTCTTTCTGAAGCCGTCACTTAGAGAGGTGAGATGATCTGTACTGATGTTTCAAATACACTGGTTATTTTCAGGTATGGCCGTCTTAGAGTGGTGCTCGATGCGGATGTATTCAATGTGATTATTTATGACATGCTTGTCTACGTAGCTTCAAATTTGAATTAAGTAAGTATTAACATAAAAATATGTATTAGTTTTAGTTATAAATAACTTCTTACTTTATTAGTATGTCAGGGTTACTATTAGCTTGTATGTCAGAAATATCTCTTTAAGAAATTCGAATGAAATGTGGTATGTGTAAGTAAAGGAATTAAATAAAGACAACTCACGAAATATGGAACACAAGTTAGATTTATTTAGCATACTCCAATGTCCTATAGCTGTTCTGGAATCAATAAATAACAAACCACATTTTCTTTTAATTCTCTCACACATCATATATCGTGTAACAGTAATATCTCTCATTGTAACTCCCTGAACATTTTAAAATAATGATTTAGAACAACAGAGTAAAGATCTCATGGGGTCCAAAGAATACACAACACAGTACACAAAAGGATGTAATTCAACTGGATATGAAATTTGCAGTGATGTTCACGAGATATACTCACTGCAAATAAACCGTGTTGTTAGCAGTTTGATTCTCTCATAAGAAGATAACTGGGGTGACAAGTTTGCAATACCACCATGGATCAGGTGATGTTTCGTGCATTAAATGACTGACACATATCATATTCGATCACATCACAGAACATATTATTCTATCACTTTATACGATTTAAAGAATATTTTCCATTAATTTCTGTATGTAATTTTCATTAATTTCTGTAAGCATTATGGCAAAACTGCAAAAATATTTCATAAAATTACCCGTAATTAAGAACAAGATGTTTTTTTTTTTTTTTTTTTTTTTTTTTTTTTTTTGCATAGTTTTGATGCATATTTGAAAAGTGATGCTCAGTTCTTTACGATATAATTATTAAATAATTAATATTATGCTTATTATATTAAGTTTAGATGTTTTCTGACGACATCTTTACACACCCGTTGTATAGCAACATTCTTTGATGTAGTAAATGTGTTTATGCATTTCATACTTAGTAAGAATTTAACTAAATCACGTGATGTTTAAAAGGATTTTAGAAGTCTTTAAAAATGCCTAAATTGTAAATTCCTTTTGTTACTTTATTCAGCTCAACGCAAGAGAATAGATTAATATTATCGTCTTAATCTATTATACAACAAAATAATAGATATGTTTAATCTTTCAACAGTTTATAGCCTAAATATTATATATAAATCCAAAATGTCTTATTTGGTAATTTCCTTTTATTAAATAGTTTCCTTTATAACAAGAATTTTCAGTTTGCAACGAAAAACCTTTTGAATATTAGAAAAGTAACTAACTACTTTAAACTGTTTAAAAGAAACTTTGAAGTGAATCTAATAACGATGTTTATTACCTACATTAAATTTGAAGATTTCGTTGTGGAATAAGAAGCTTTTTCAAAAATCACCGACATTTTCATGAACGTTTTGTAAAATTTGAAGCGTATATTTAGGTTAATAGGAGAGCATTTTCTGAACATAATTATGAATTCTCGACCGCTATCATTCCATCCAATCATCTTCTATAGAGAAACGGTTACAGTTGCATATAAAAGTGGCCAATTTTACTGTCTGCTAACAACAAAAAGTACAGCAAGATTACAAAAGGTGCACAAAGAGCAAATGAGAATAAGAAATTTTAGTTATTTAATTTAAAAGCATTATGTTTTACTGAAACCATCACAGAGAAGTACGAGTAAAACTTTCAGCTACCATGCCAAAAAAAGAAAAACATTAAATGGAGCTTTTAAATCACTCTAGAAATCTTCCCCTTATTGTGTTACTTAACTACGTTTTGTATCATTACAAATGAAACGAATTTGAAGTCCTAAAAACATTAATGAAGAAACACATATTTGAAATTTGAATAGAGAACATAAAAATTACATATTGGTCATTTGGGAATAAGGAATCTCGACGCATTGCATAGCTTTTGAAATTCCAAAACATGCTTCCTCTAGGTGCTAATTAATTAATTCATAGAAAAGTGAGCAGTGTGTATTTCTCTTTACTGCAGAACTGGCTCGGTGTGCTCAAATTAGTAACCTCTTGTATTTGGCCTAACTCAGAGTTCTTAGGAAAAGGTAGGAAATATGACAAATAATCACGGCTGTTATTTTTTTCAAATAAGATATGGAATAGTGACCGACGTCATTGAGTATAACATTGGATGCACACTTATACAAATAAGCTTTTCACAGTGGATAGAAATGTAGAAGGGGCACCTGAAATGTAAAAAATATATTATTAGAATGGTGAAATGTGAAGAGCAAAATAAAAAGTGGAGAATAAAGGAATGTTTAAATTTAACATAATGATATGAACTTCTTTAACACATAAAGAAGTTCATATCATTATGTATTAAGATCACAATGATATGAACATTAAGATCGATTTGTATCAATAAATCGCTATCTATATTAGCCTTACAAACCACTTGTATTAGAACATAAAATCCAAAGTATACACACAATGAAGCTACTGCTGCTAAAACTACTAAAATTTACAAGCGTCAAAGACTGTACAAACTGACATGTTGAATTTAAGCATGTTACTTCGAAAATATTGAAAGCAAGCATATACAGCGGCTGTTCGACTATTTTTTAGAAGATTTTCATTGTATTTACGGTAATATTTCACCTAAAAGTTTTGTTTTATTCTGTTTGATAACCCTCATTCTTCCCTATCGTTCTAAATGTAATTTCCAAGAAAATAAAGCTTTTTTTAGTAGCGGAAGAGATATTTTATCCCAATTCTTTAGTCCAAAATTTAGTCCAAAAGAGCTAAAATCCATGGGTGACACATCAGGAGATTTACGAGGGATATGAGTGAAGGGTATAATCTTGATGCTCATTTCTTGTTCCTTTTTTTTTCTTTTTTTTCTTCAAAAAATTCACACTGGACTTTGACGTGTGGCTGCTTTCTTGATGCAATTCCATTGATTGATGGTTCTGTGTGTAATAGAAGGTATTCCATATTTCAAAATAGGGTATAATATATGTTCCTGGTAATATGTGAAGTTGATCTTAAGATTTTTCTCCATTCTCTTTATTTTTAATTTGGCGTTATACGGAAAACAAGCATTAATCATAAATCCTTTTGATAAACTTTCTTAAGATTCTTTGAGCCATGTTTTTAGAATCTGTATGTATGTTCCTCGCACTGTGGAAAGACGACAACTTTTAGAGCAGCGAAATTTTCAACATACATAAGCTTTCTCCTAAACAGGTCTCTTCGAAGCCGAAATTAATTCGAACTCTTTTTTTATTTATTTAATATTTTTCCCGGATTTAATGGCATTTGAATTAATAAACGTGATGATTTAAAAGCAATGTGTTGCCACTAGGCAAAAGAAGGTACTTATGGTTCAAACTTAATCAAAAATCTCAGAAATTTAGAACTTCGTTACACTCGACAAAGAGTAAAATATTTACCTTTCAAATTTAATGAACAAACTGAGCGATTTTAAAGAACTATGTTGCCACTGCCCGAAATGAAACACTTTTATCTTCCATGTGAAAGGATGTTACCATTCGTTAAAGAAAATATACATTTTGAGCGCTATTGAATGCAATTTAACGATGACATCTGTACGTAAGAACAAAATAAAGAACACTTTTTCCCAAAAAGGGTAGCAAAAAGAATTTAAAATGGATTTAGAAGAGATTTTTTCATTTTGTCTGTACGTACGTATGTATGCATCTTCTAACTCAAAAACGAGTAGCCTCAAAACGTTGCAATTTTGTATATAAGACTGCTATAACATGTAGTTGTGCACCTCCCGTTTTGGTTGTAATCGCCCGTACCTAATGTATATATATATATATATATATAATATATATTGCTTTTAATTTAGTTTCTTTTACATTGAAATTTTGTTATTCATGATTTATTCAAGTCCCCGTTAAACATTTTTAACAATTTACATTCACGTTACTTTAAAACAATTTTCGGAATTAAACTTATTAACTATGGATTCACTCTTAAATAATTCTACAAAAATTAATCTTAGGAGATAATATAATCAATATTTCTATCCATTCTGTTACTCGGCTCGGTGAACTCAGTTTTTTTTAGTTTTGCATGTTGGCAAATTGTTCATCTTTTTCTTTAAAAATGATTGAATTATGCTGTTCTTATCTTCGGGTTAAGGTTTTTATGCCTTTAGTTAATATTCATGGAATAGTTTCAGAATTATCAACAATATAAAAGTTGTTTTGTGTGCTAAGCCTAATTTTTTTTACCATAGCAGCCACATTCATTTATATTTGAAACTTAGCATAATAGCTAATTAAGTCATTTTCTGCACCTTCAGTGTCTCTTTGCAGAGTGGGACCAAAAGTAAATTTTCAATTCTGTGCACCAAAAAAATTGCCTTCTTGCCCGCTGCTGAATTCCTTGTTTTTGCGTAGAAACTCTAATTTTAATTGTAAAAACTAATTTTAATTGTTTTAAATGTTATTTAATTTTTAATTGTTTTAAATGTTTGTTGTGTTTTATATTTTTCTATATTTTCAATTTTTAATAAAGATATTTTGATGTTTTATGTATTGTTGCCTTGTCGCGAAGTGAGAGCTGAATTAATTGAATGAGAAATATATCTGTAATGAAATTCGAGGAAATAAAGTTTAAAGGAAATGAAGCAAAAAATACGTATAATTTAATATTCCGTACAAGGAAGTCATGTTGATCAGATTTTTTAAAATCGCACCATTTCAACTTCTCTTGATAGGACAGATAGCATTTCCCATTTCAGCCTTTTCATTCAAGGTCAGTTTAAAATTCTGAAAGTGTAATAGAAGGTCACGTGACTGTGAAATATGTATAAAGTGATGTCACAATGACGCGTTAGCCTTAGGAGCAATTTACTCTAGGGACTGTTTAGATAAACCATTAATAACATTCGTAATACGTAAAGAAGATGTTTTTTTAATTTCCTTATAATTCAGAATTATCAGTATCTTCAAATAGTATCATGTCGATTTCTAAAGAACAATCGCGGCTAAAATATTTTGAGAATTGTACATGTTAAAAATTTAAGTATTAAAAGAGAAAACTGAAACATTGAAAGTTAAGTGAAAAATTTGAAGATTTTGCTAGCTTGTATTAAAAAATACATTGCTCTGTGAAAATCGTCGATAATACTGCTATCATATATTTTAAAAAAATAGATTAGTTACTTTACAGATTTTTAAAACTGCGACTTTCATCGTAGAAGAGAATTTATGCCAAATATAGAAAAATGCATCTTTTATAGCTATCTGCCTAACGAAATTACTATATGGCATAAAAATAAAGGATGTTTATTATTTTTCGGCTGAAATAATTGTTCTTTATGCATCTTAAAAAGCCTCCTTTTCTCTGTTTTTCGTCTTTCAGCTCTTATTGCGGAGTAACTTAAAATATACGAACTTTACTTCCAGTATCTTTCCATGAATTATAAAGTAAAATTAAAAATAGAAAGCCCATCTGTTATAAAGTTAAAAACAGAAAGCCTGAAATGATGCGATTTTTGACATTTTCATCCAGGATACCTGCAGAACAGGGAAAAAGCTTAAAATGGCACAATTTTTGTTGCCATCTCTAGAAGGACCACATCCGGCAAAAAATTTCTTATATCGAGGAAATTTTAAGTAGAATTCGTAACAGTAATATTTCCTATGCTAGTTAGTTGCTTCAATATATTACTGAAAGACGTGGTTGACAACATTAAAACAGACTCGTGAATTGGCACGTGGCATATAGAAAATCAGCTTCATGTTTACTAAAAACTAGATTTGATTTTAGATAAAAACTAGATTTGATCGTCTTACCTTTTTAGGCGGACCTGCGCATTTCTGATTGTGAAGCTTCGTCTCCCTCTGCCATGAGATTTGCTAAACCGTACAATCTAGCCACATCTTCAGCTGAGGCGTACGCTTCTGGTACTTGGACTACGTGGCCCCACTTTCCGAAATCTGTGTCTTGGTCCTCATCTCCGGAAAATCGGTTCCTGAAAGAGTTAAAAGAGAGGCATTCGGGATTTCTGTGAGCCGCTAATCACAGAAGGCCTTTTACTAACGAAAATGAATTCATTTGTATGAGTTATCAGTTTTTCCTTTTAAAGAGTTAAATGGAAATTCGACCGATTAGATTGTAACGCACGAAGACTGTGCCTTTCTGTTAATTGTTTTGAATTAATAAAGGGTTATTTTTCGCCCTTCTTCTTGAGTCAGTAGTTTTCTTCACGCCTGTGCGAGAAGTCGCCAGGTCATTTTAGGATCTACTCTAGTTTATGTGGAACAAGAGAGTAAGACTCTACAAGTGGCGTCCGAATTAAAAGGGTGGCGGATGATGACTCTTCACATCCAGTATTTTGCGACTGGGTCCCGTAGAAACTCCAGTCGCCCTTTAAAAGGGGAAGTATATAAAGTATTTCCCCCACCTTCTTGGCGTGCTGTCTTCGTGGTGTGGTGGTCTGCACACTGTGCCGGTATTTCAGAGGTCCGTGGTTCGATTCCCGGCGAAGGCGAGTACTAATTTTTCATCTTGCCTGCTTCCAAAAAATAACTAATGTCTCTACAAGATTACTGACTGATGAATCAACAAATGATATCATGCAGCTCTCGCGTCTGGGAATGTTTTTTAATAACTGCATCCTTCTTTTGCTCGCTTGGTGGGTAAAAGTGATTGCAATTAATAAAGTGAGATGTCGATGACGATTTGCTAAAATTTCAGTAATTTTTTCAGTGATCTTTGAATTTTAATCGAATTCATTAACACAGCTCTCGCTAGTACGTAATTATCATTTATACCTTTTATTATTTATCATTCATAAGGTACAATTCATGTTACTTTTTAGCCTAAAGGGGCAATTTGCCCAAAAGGTCGTTTAATTTCGTTTGGCATTTTGTAAATAATGTAATTATTGTAAGTAATGTAATTAATATAAATATTGTAATTTATGTAAATAATATAATTAATGTAAATAACGTAAATACTTAAATAATGTGAATAGTGTAATTAATGTAAATAATGTACATGTAATTAATTTAAGTAATGTAATGTAAATAATGTAATTAGGATTGTTTACATAAGTATTTATTATGTAATTACTGTAAATAATGTAATGAAATAACATTATTTACGTTATTTGTAATGTAGTTTTAAAATTTTTGTAATATATATATTACATATGTAAACTATTTATGTAAATAAGATAAATAATTTTTTTTAATTATGTATTATTATTTTATATAATTTTCTTTTTTTTAATGTAAATATTTATTTATGCAATGTAAATAATGTAAATAATTCTTAAAGACAATGTAATTATGTAAAGTATTTTTTATGTATATTTGTATAAAAAACGCAAAACAAGATTTTTTATGTAATTATTCATGATTACATAAAATATTATTTTGATACATTATATACAATTTATGTAATTATTTATGTAAATATTATTTTTATGTAATAAAATAAAATAAATGCAATAAAATGTAAACCAAATTATTTATAATGTCAGTACATTACATAGTAATTATTAATCTATATATATATATAAGCGAAATACCATTGACTCATCACGAGATCTCCGAAACTATACACCCGATTGACTTGAAATTTTGCATTGTTACTCATTCCACGATGTAGATGCGCACTAAGAACGGATTTTAAGTAAATCCCCTCCAAAATGGATTTTCGTTGTTTAATAGAAGTTTCTGATACAGTTGGTTTTCAAAATCAAGTTCAGAATTTTCTTTTATTGTTGCATAAACAAGATATGAAATACAATGCTGCCAATGAATGCATTTTCCTTTAAAATTATTAAATGGGTAAATAACTTGCATCTATCCAATGAATGCAAACGACATTTAAAGATAAGGTTAATAATAACATTTATATTTAACTGTTGTCATAAGTTTCACGAAAATAAATGTTATTTTTGAAAGAAATAAATTATTGTGATTAAAATTAAGAATGTTGTTGTTATTTATAAAAATTGCCATACATGAAAAATCAAGGACAAATAGTTGTAATTTATTAAAAAATTTGGTAACAAAGATTACATTTATTTTCATGAAAGTTATGATAAAAGTTAAATATATATAAACCTTAGTTTTATGTTGGCAATTTTTCTTGGTGTAGGCCTACTGGGGATCCCACCACGTTAGATGTTGGGGGCGCATCCCAATACACAGTACCTCATGGGTGATGTGGAAATCTGTGTATGACAGATTCACTGAACTGGCACTGTATTTCCCGACTTTATATTTAAAAAAATTATATTAATTATCAATTCGAAATTAGACATTTCGTCCATATAAGAAGTTTAGGTTCACGTTCAAATAGATAGTGTGCCCAGAAAAGTGGGCGGGTATCAGCTAGTATGTAATATATACATACATTACGTATATTAATTACATGTATAATTACGTAATGTATTATTTATATAAGCAATGTGGAGATATTATGTAAATAATGTTTTTATGTAGTTATTTATGTAAATAATATTGAGATATGTAGATATATAATATTTTTATGTAATTTTCTTTTATTCTTTCAAAAATGTTTCTAGCCAAACTTTTCTAAGAACAAACTGCAAAGATTAGAACTGCGTAGACGCAGAATGTTCGTAGAAGATATTTATACATTGGTTCGTAATGTATACAGTAGGTGCGAGGATCGACTGCATATGATTGATTTATGAATAAATTCTTGTTTTAGTGAAAATATGTAACTATAATTTGCCTACACATTTTCAGTAATTAATTCAGTTAGTGATAACCCACTTTTCTGCAGCAGAGGTTTAGGAACATTTTTAAAGAAAACAATTTCAGTATTCACTTATAATGCATGAATGTAAATATTACCAGATTTATAATTAGTTCGCTTTTACAAAGACTAGCGTGTATCATTTCTGCTATTACGCATAATATTTATTTTCACTTCATTTGAAATAAACTGAAATTTTTCATAGAGCTTGTAAATCTGAAATTTAACTTCAAAGTATCTTTCCAATCAGATCATTTTTGATAAAATTAAATATGATGTGGATTAACCATTGATGAAATTTACCAAAAACTTTATTTATAACATTTGGGGAGGTCTTTGTAACTAACAAAATACCTGTATCAATCATTCAGCCATCAAACATTACATAAAATCTGTGGCGCGAGTTACAGCCTTTAGCTTAAACTGACTCTGAAAGCAATAAACATAAAAATAGTAAAATCTTAACATAGCTTCATTTTATCTTACCACTTGTGGGTTCTAAATTAAAATAATATAAAATAAAATGTAAGTCTCCTCGACTTCCAGTAACTGGCTGGAATTTACAAATCAATACCACAATATAAGTGTTCTATCGGGATATTGATTTAACGTTGTCTGCTCCCAAGTCTTATAGGAAGCATGTGGTTTGGAAGAAAACTGTGTTTGATTGGAATGCTGAATATCTTACTTCTTCGAAGACTATGGCAAACAGACTTTTCCCAAGTGTTCTTCAGTGACTTAAGTGTAGGCATTTTTAACCGGCATTTCCAACCTGCTCATATTTTGACCGGTCGTGAGAATTTTGGAACTTATTTACTTCGTTTCAATATTGTTAATGGTGGACACTGTGCTTGCGGCGATGCTGTGGAATACGAGGAACATATTTCATTGCATTGTAGGTTGCATATGACTGCCCAGAAGTGCATTTAAAGTGAGTTTAGGGCATCTTTATATTTGCTGACCTCCTGTTTTCTATGATCTTGTTAGGAGTTCCGACTCTTTGCAGTCTTGGGCGTCTTTTAGTATTATTATTTATATGACTGGATTTTTATCTTTTATGTGTCTCTGTATAATTTTGCGTATTGTCTACGTATGATTAGGATATGTATTGATGTTTTGCACCGTGGATGTATTATTTTTCTTTGTATTATTATTATTTTTAAGTATTATTTCATTTTTGTTATTATTGCATTATTTTCTTTTATAGGAGTATTAACCTAGTTTAATTATTCACGGTATATTTCAATATTTTTATTTATAATAGTATTTGTACTTTATGTTTTTTCTTCTTTGCTCTCGCCAGGCCTAAATTTTAACTTTTTATGGTTGAATGCTTTGAATTATGAGTTATTTACTGTAAGCCACGTAATACTTCATGAAACAAGAAGAGTTTTATATTTGTTTTCTTAATTAAAAACAAATTGTATAAGTGTTGCTACTCAAGGCTTCAAACGCATTTTTTTTTAGTACAATCTAATCTAAAGCAAAACTCACTTATGAATTTAGGCTAATATCCTGCAATATTGTTTTACTGAACATACTCAAACATCAGCTGATGATATAAGGCAAGAGCGATGGCTAAATCAATAGCGGAACATATCTCTCTGGTGCATGTCATGCGGTTGCGATTCTTTCTCTCAGTTTATACTACGCCTCTTGCCAATCAAATCTGTATACACTTCTGGACTGAGCAAATGCGTCACTAAAGAAGGCTTAAAGGAAAGGTGTAAAATAAGCTTTTAACTGTTATTTAAACTCACATGAAATATCGAGTAATTCATATTTATAGAATAAAAGTGTTTTAAAGCAGCTTAAAATCACAAGCAATTAAACAACTTCCAAAGGTATATCTTAGTAAAACGTTGCAGGAATTATGGCATAAAACAACAGCAAAAAGGAATTTTATTATTATTATTTTATTTAAAAATTATTTTTATCACACCACATGCATCTCTGAACTGTAAATAATCAAGGTACGCACTGCATGTCTTAAAGGAGGGGTTCCTAACCGTATGCCCGCGGGCACCATGGCGCCCGCCGATCGTTTAACGTGTGCCCACCGCTGTGCGATCACAATAAAATGTTTTAGTTTTCAATAAAATTCTATGTGAAAGTTTTCTCAATTTTAATGAAACAGAAATTGCGTCCGACACAGATACCAACACAAAGCGAAATACAACCGAACCCATATTTTCCTCGCGCATTCCGCCAACTAATTTCCCATATAACTCCCCCTAATTTCCCATTAAACTCCAAAATGTACCGAACTAGTTCATCTCGAGAGCAGGGTTGCCAAATTGGGAGATAAAAAATTAGTAATGTAATAGCTTTTAAACATGTGGTATAAAAATATAGCTACATCTCTACAAATAGAATATTACAACACTGAGTCTCACCTGTGGTGTGGAATTTGAATACAGCCGGTTCGGGCGATATTTTAGAAGCCTTCTGAGCTTTTGGCATTATGAGATTTGTATTTTTTACAAAGAATTTTTATACTTTGTAGATTTTGTATGCATTACTTTATAAGGTATTTCTCCTGCCTTCTTATCATGCCTTCGTGGTGTAGTGGTCAGCATCGACGTGAATTCGAGAGGTCCGTGGCTCGAGTCCCGGCGAGGGCATGGCGCATTTTTCATCTCTTAGGTTTTGAAAAATACCTAATGCCTCTACAGTGGCGCCCGAACTAAAAAGTGGTGGATGATGATTCTCCACCACCAAGATTTGGCGATTGGGTCCTCTAATCCCCAATCGCCCTTTATGAGGGGGGAGTATATAAGGTATTTCTCCCTCCGTCTTAACATGCCTTCGTAGTGTAGTGGTCAGCACGCTCGATGGAAATTCCAGAGGTACTTGGTTCGATTCTCGGCGATGGCCTGGCTCATTTTTCACGTCTCCTGCTTCGAAATAACCTAATGTCTCTACAACTTAATAATTATTTTGGACAGAAATAAAAACACTAAATTTCTATTATTTCTATCTAACCATACTAATCCATACTAATTAACTAAATAACTCTATCTAACCATATTAATCCATACTAATTAACTAATTAACTCTATCTAACCATAAATTCACCTTGAAAAAGTGAATGGTGCCCGCCTTCCAACAGATATTATAGAATGTGCTGTTAGAGACAAAATGGTTGGGGACCCCTGGCTTAAAGAATAGCAAATTGTAATCATTCTGAAATATATGCGAAAACACAAAATAAACTGCATGCCCTCCCTCTATCTGCGGCATCGTTACGGGATTTTGTGTAATAATAGGTGAAAGAACACGGTAATGCAGAAAATATTATTCTCAAAAGGGATCAGATGATATACAACGAGATTACAGAATATAAAAATTATTTAAAAACTGTAAATTAATTTAAATATGTTATTTTCTATCTTTTTACATCCATCTGAGCTAAGAGAAGTAATAAATAATTGTAAAACTTGCAAGAGAGAGTTACTAATCTAAATTTACGAGTATATCCTCTTCAGCATTGTACGGTTTACGACTCTCCTGACATTTAACCGTCATATGGTCATGAGTGGCCTAACTGAAAAGAAAGCTGATTCTAGCCGAGCGTTATCAGTATTAATTTGTAGCTATTGAAAAGCTGCTTGTTAGCGTAGTTGTAGTAAGATAATATTTTTGCCATAAAAAATTTGGTTATTAGTGTCATGGCTTAAATCCGGCCCGAATGTAGCCTGACTCCGGTACTTCTTACTCTTTGAGCAAAATCGTAATTCTTGTCTGATTCCCAAATGAGAGCCACAAATGAAGCAATAAAACTGCCAGAAGGAACTGCCAATAAACTAGAAACTGCCAGAAGGAACTGCTAGGCCTACCAGCGGCCGAGTGGTAAAGTCGCTGAACACTGGTAGTTCTATCCAAGGTTCGAATCCCGCGAACGGGCTGGCTACCTGGGCTTTTTCGTGGTTTTCGCCATGTGTAACGTGTATACGAGTCAGATTCCCTTAGAAAGTCCTCCACGAATGCATCTCTCTCCTTAGGCAGATGGCTCTCGGGGGTTTTGCCGTAATCACCGAAATCGAATTCAAGTGAGATTTGGCATTTTAATTTATTCTTTAACTATCTGTCATTCATATGATTAGTTAGTTATTTTTATTGTTTTCTAATTTTATTTAATTTTTCATTCGTTGCCTATTATTATTATATTTTATAAACCATCGTGACGGCCTACAACAGGACTCCGATCCTTCTAATTTTAGAAATAAAGTCCTCATGAGTGTAGCTGTTGTTAGGGAAGGATGTGTTAAGCGTTGAGTAATTATCTTTTTTGTTTTAATTCGAGTCGCCAATATTACGAATGCAGTGACAGAGAAGATTTTCTGCGTAGTCACTTGAACTACATTTTCTTGTAAATTTATATCCTTTCCAAATTTTGTGACTACTAACAAAGCATTAGTTTCGGCAAAGTACTGCGATTTATAAAAACCTTCTTTTCTTAAATTATTGCGCCATCCGGAAGGGAATCTAATTTTAAATCAAACTAAGATACGGGTGAAAAGAAATTAGCATTTGGATTGAACTATTAAAATTTAATAATGCAAGTTCAACTTTTCCAGCGTCTAACGTCAAAAGTTCAGTTTTCTTTTTGACAAAATATATAAAGTGGGTAAAGGGAATTAAACCTCTAGAAATGGCAATACATAAAATACAGATAAATGGAACAGAAAATGTAGAAATCGAAGAATCGCAATACGTGTTGCCTCAACTGTGCCAGTGCAACGAAATGGTGGGTGGGGGAATCGTACTTTATTAATTATCTGCACAATGACGAATAAAAAATCACTATGCAGTAATAAAAGAAAAATTTATTAGAATTAAATGCATCTCAATATGCACAATTTTTATAACTAATTTTATGAATGAATATGTTATGTTGTATATTTTACAAAGGTTTTGCAGTAATGCATTTTTCCGATCGTAAGCTTTTGACAAATTGCTTAACGTTAAATATCAGAGGGAGATCTGTCTAGGAGGCGGAATGCGTTCGTGGAGGACTCTGATAAGGAAACCTGGCTCGTATTTACGTTAACCGACATTTAGTATTTTATAGGTAAAATAAAAATAATCTTTTCCTTCCTTTAAAATCTACAATCGAAAACGGGAAATATTATGAAGTCAATAGCGATGTTATTCTCCTTCGAGCAAAGTAAAGCTCCAGTCAAAAGTTTTATCAACTTATTGGGTTTTTTGGACTACGTTAGCTTGCCTTTCATTAGAAGTTGGTATATTGCCGTCAGATGATTTAGCATCTTATCAACATTTAATTATTTTAAACAAACTCTAAGCAAGTATTTCTTTAAATTGTGTTATAAACTCCAAATTCATAGCAGAAAGAAATTGCAATTTAGATCTGAGGAAAGCACTGAAATGAAAACCAAAAAGTTAAAAGAAATGAATTGGCATAATAAAGTAATGGAAAATGGAAAATAACAGGGCGGCCATGCCCTGTTATTTTCCATTTTCCCTGTAATGGGAAATTAGAAAACTTTAGAAAGTTAAAATCGGAAATAAAATAACACTGAACACAAAAATTTAACATATTGAGAGGACATTTATCAGAATGAAATAGAAATTATAAAATTTACATAAAATTGGAGGAAAAGAAACGAAACTTGCAATCTCTGATTCTTCAAATTCCAATTTAATACTCTAAAGTTGGCATAAACTAATAACCTTGCAATATGAAGAGGGCTATCAAAAAATCTAAATTCCTTTTTTAAAAATAAGGAAATTGGAATCGAAGATTATCGAAAATTTTGTCGTCGGAGAGCGCGACAATATTTTCTATTAAACTTGAAAGCAAAAGCACGCGTTATGTTTTCAGAACACAACGAAAATCATGTTTTCGAGGTATCAACATACGAGGTTGCATAACGAACATAATTGGAGGAAGCGTGTTCGGTTGAAAAGGACAGAGCATGTTCGAGAGATTCAGACGATGTCGATAGGCATACGCAATTTTTATGATGCAACCTTTTCCTTTGTCTTTATATTTCTTCATCGAAGCATAAATTTCAAGGACACCGCGCAATTATAAGGTATCGTTAATCAAAGAATAGAGATTCATTGTCGTTAATATCAAAATTTTGAACTGCGCACGCCAGTTCCGCCATCTATTGAGTATTATTGTAAACATTCGCGGTTTGTTGTAAAAAAAAAAAAAAAAAAAAAAAAAAAACTTTAATTATTCTTTCTTTTTTTGCAAATTGAGCTCCAGCTGCGTGCTTTTATTCTATAAATTTATATTATAAATCTGTTCTAGTGTAAATCTGTTTTGGGCATATTATATCTCTAATATAGATATGCATAAATTTTCTCAGTTATTTAAACGCATTTATAACAGAACGTCTCAGAACTTTCATCGCTGGCAAGCTTAATTTCGTAAAGAATAAACGGAGTCTCTACGTACCCATTATTATTGAAGAATCTGGACCTCTTCTTGTATCCCGAGATATACCGGTAATCTAATGGATAGAAAGGTGCAGATCTCCTGCTTACGGAGAAAACTGATGGGGTGGTATGGCGAGACAACCATTTCCGAATAGCTTCATTTTCTTCTTTCTGAGATCTGTGAAAAAATACCATTCACATCATCAGTGTTATGCGAAACAACAGATTTACGTAGTCTCTTAATTCTGAAGAAAAAAAAAAAAAAAAATCTGATGTGTACGCCACGTGACTTCCTTGCACGAAATATTAAATTATACGCATTTTTTCTTGCATTTCATTTCAACTTATTGGATTGAATTAAATCTACTTTGTCGATAGCGCATAAACCACAATAAAATAAATGCACTCTTTAAAATTCACTATATTTGTTTACCATAGCGGCACTCTGGCGCTAGGTTCGCTTAACAGCGTTAATTTCGTTCATATTATAAATACATTGATACGTTGATACAGAGGTAAGTTATACAGGGGTTCTACTGCATTCGCAGTACTTCCCTGTAAACCTGAAGGAAATCCATAATGGGCATGGTGTTGAAAGGTTCCTGGGTGAATCCCATGGAGGGAGCAAGGAGAGGGAGGAAAAAGAACATATTATAACTCAGAATGCACATAAATTTATATCATTTCAAGAATTATCTAGTCGTTGCCACGTGTTCTCTTCAAATACTATAATAAACCTAAAACGATGTATAAAAGAAATTAAGCAAACAAAACAAAAAAGAACAGTTTTTCACAGACGATTCAGTATTTCTCATTCAATTAATTCAGTTCTCACTTCCCGACAAGGCAAAAATACATAAAAACTCAAAATATCTATATTAAAAATTGCGAAGTAAATTTCAAACACTTATTTCCTCGAATAAATTCCAGAATGGATTAAACATGATTTAATTCTCAATAATAAAAGAAGGCGTTATCTTTCTTGTTGCGAAGCTTAGTCTCTTCAGATTGGCAACAAATCTACTATTCTGCTGTTTCAAATGTAAACAAATATGGCCGCCCTGTTATTTAAAAATTAGGCTTAACCGCTCTTAAACAGCTTTTAAATTGTTGGTAATTCTACAAATATTGCATACAGATTTACAAAAGGCATAAAATCCTTAACCGGAAGATAAGAACAATATAATTCAATCATTTTTAAAGCAAAAAATGCACAATCTACAAACATATAAGAGCAAAGAAAGTGAGATCACTGAGCCGGGTAACAGAGTGGATATATATATAAATATATTTATATACGTTTGGTGTGGCCGATTGCAACCAAAATGCGAGGTGCACATCTACATGTTATAGCAGTCCTATATACAAAATTTCAACGTTCTGAGGCTATTCGTTTTTGAGTTGAGATACATACGTACGTACATGTACGTACAGACGCCACGAAAAATTCTCTTAAGAATTCATTTCAAATCAGTTTTATAATTTTAAGGGTGGAAAAGAGTCTTTTATTCTGTCCTTACATATAGATGTTACGCAAAAACATCGTTAAATTGGATTCAATAGCGGTTAAAAATGGATATTTTCGTTGAAATATGATGCCTGAAAATTTTCGCGATTACAATACAATACTTCCTTTTTACTTCGTACAAGGAAGTAAAAACAAAGAAAAATAAAATTAAATAGTTTTTGAAAGATTTACTTGAGAGTTAGTACATAATTCTTAAAAATGATCGATTTGATTTTAGATGAGCCATACTCTATGTATTAGTTTGATATTCATGAACCATGCATGAAGCTGATAGCATAAAACATGCACAAAACAAGCATAAACTATATATTTGTCTGATATATATGAAATGAAAAAATAAAGAAATTTCTGAATTTTAAAATATCGAAGGAATGAAGGAATCTCTTAGAATAAAAGAGGAATCTCGTGTTAAACCTCGTCTGAAAAAAATAATCTCTGGGCAGTGGCAGGGTAAACTTGGCAAATATGGGCACCAAAATATTTAATTGAAAATTACACTACACCAAAACGCTTTTCATTTCTCTGAAATTAATACATTTCAAACTTTAGGTCTTTCTAATGGTATATGAACAAATCCCTAACTCTTTTTGCTATGTGTAATAAAGAAGCTCCGCAACAAATTCTGCAATTGTCTATGTTTGACTAATTTTTTAGGTAATATGGGCACAGTTGCCGGAAATATGGGCAAGTTGCATTATTAAAAAGATAAGAAAAACTGCCATCTCTACATTTACGTTTTCCAAACAGAATTGCATTTTAATACAAATTATAAGTTTGGCAAATGATAAGAAGTAAAATTAAACTTTTTTTATTGAACAAATTGTATCACAAAAAAAAAGGTCCAAGATTTTATCTATAAATTAAAAATAATTGAATAGTGAAAATCAGATAAACTATTAAATTAATATAAATTATTACAAACTTAAAGAAGAACAGCTTATAATGAGGACTTGTATCATATGCTACATTTATTGCAATCGTCACTCTCTAACTCGACACATTCCTCATAGAACAACCCATAATAAGCCAATGGTTATTGTTAGAGCATCAAATAATCAATCTCACTTTAACTGCCTCATGAAAAGAAAATATTATAACATTTTGGTACTGCCTATATTTCTCTTAATCTTACTGTCCATATTTGCTCTTTTGACATTATTCAATAGGTGGCATTACTGCTTGTCGAAAGGAGTCCCTAATGACAGCGGATATTACGCTCACATAAGATTGCAGTCATTTATAGGTTTCATGTAAAATTAATCCTTTTTGCGTGTTAAAGCTTAAGTAAGAGAACTGAAATGTAAAGGTAGTGGCGTAGCTAGGGTGGGGCAAGGGGGGACATCTGTTCCCGGGCGCAGCATTCAGGGGGCGCCAAATTGATGTTATTAAATTTTAGAATGAAATGTTTTCCGTTCTTGAAACAGAGAAAGGGGCGCAAAATCTTCAGTTGTACCCGGGCGCTGAAAACCCTAGCTACGCCTCTCTGTAAAGGCAACCCTAATTTGAAATATCAGGTAGTTGGAGTCATATTAGAAATGGTCCGTTTGCATTTCTGTTTGAACCGAACAACGACACAAACTAATCACACAGTCCCCATGAGAGCATTGCCAACACCACAATGCGAATGCACCAGCTCAAAACCATTACGTGTAATATGAACATTTGCTTAAATGTGCCATATACCCTACTCTGTTCAAAGGAATATGTCAAAATGTTCTTTCAGCATATGTTGAGTTCATTCAGTATATTTTTTAATAAGTCCCTATGATAATGCCATTTATAGTGTTGTGAATATAGTCTCTATTTATAGTGCTATGAAGACCCAAACCTTGCCGATGCAATTATGACAAGAATTGAATTATCGTCTTGATGCTCTTTATCTAACAAAAGCAAATTACCTAAAATACTTATTAGAAAATCTTTGACAGTTTCCTTTTATTTTGCATATTATTTATCAGATTGAGCTTTAAATTTCAAATATAAATCCATTTGAAACTGGGCTAATACTATTTTAACCATGAAAGTAAATTTCACCGCATAGATATAATAAACATTGTTCCCTTTTCGATATTCGTTGTAATAGATATACATATCTTGTATATATCAAAACCTTTAAATCTTTTAGTGGCACTTTAGTTAAATGAAGATTAAAAATTAAGTTAAATGAAGTCTTCATTTAACTTTTAATTAAATGAAGACTGCTTTTATGATGAAATTATTCACAAACGTTGTTCTCATTCTTCGTAGTGATAACGGCTGATTTAGAAACAAACTTTAAACTGGTACTGACGAAAATTATTTATGAAAGAGTTGCTGAATTCGATAACATAACGCGGTAACGACAGTGTGTCATCGGTAAACCTTTGTGTTGCCACTCTGCAAAGAGTAAAATTTATGTTACTCTGCAAAGAGTATATGTTTCTAATTTAATTACAAAAGTTGGCGATATAAAAGAAATGCGTTGCCACTCGCAATATACTTGCCTTCAGATTTAAAGAACACGCTCAGCAATTTAAAAGAAATGTGTTGCCACTGCCAGAAATAAAATATTTTTGTCTATTTATATTTCGGTGGATACTATCCGTCCACCATTGTCTTTGTATTACATTTCCCAGACCTAGTGAACAAAAATCGTTCTCCTGGATTGACTGGATGGGCTCTAGGGTTTGGGACGTTTAGCTGTGTTAAGGCCTCCATCGAGCCAGCCATGTGTGCCCCTTTCTCCTAGTATTCTGATATTACCAATTCGCATATTGTAGCAAATTTAGACACATCTTTAACATATGTCTCAAATTCAAAATTCTGCAATACAGCAAATCCGCAACCTTTTATCGGATTTACAATAAGGTACAAAAAAACCTAGTTTCGTTTTGAAACAAATGAAAGAATTATTGTTAAACAAAATATGTGATTTCCTAAAATACCTATGGCTACAGAAGCAACAGGCTCACTGGTCCGTCAGCCTTCGAGAGGCTCTGGTGAGAGACACAGTGTAGATCTCTAAAACCGCTTGACACTGGCTGTGAAGTTATGAACTTTGTAAGGTCAATAGCAACCGTAAATGAACGAATTATTGCTTCTGCAATGTCATATCTTGTCGTCTCACAGATCGTAATAGCTCGAACACTGCGACCTGTGGGAGATCGCAAGTATGAATTTCTTATCTTTGTGCAGCCCGCCGCAAACCTCTTTTAAATTGTAGGAAGGAAAACACCAACAACCAATCGACCAACAAATAAAGTAACTTATTAAGCAACATAAATTAACAAAATTATAAAAAGATACATTCTGATAGATCTCGGATTTCAAAATGAACCCCAAAACGAGACTAAACACAATTTAAATATTCAAAATTACAACAAATATTGCTAGCAAAGGCCTTTGAAATCAGAAATGATATTACGAGTGCAAATGGTACAACACACCGCAAATTCTACACAAATTCTTCTCCGGTCAATTGCAATTACTCAGTATAGAGGAATTGGTCCCGGATTCGTCAAATGTACGTGTAAAAAAAGTGCCAAAATAATGAAATAGCTTTGCCTGAAAAATGTAATGCAATGTAACTCAAAATGTCATGCAAGCTTACCATGCTGCAACAAGCAGATTAATTTTAACTCCTGATTTTTTATATAAAAAATTTGTTTTTCTTAATAAGAAAGACATAAATTTTTTGAATACCTTTCATTTTTCTTTACATATTTTGAATAAATTTTTTTTAATGGCACTCTCAATTTTTTTTCAGAGCAACATTTGTATTTTTGAGGACTGCACATCATTTATATAATAGCCTTATCAGGACCTTTTTTTTTCATGCTTCGCCTAAATAGCATTTGTCATTCTATAGAATGTCTACGTGTTATATACGATGCCTGGCTAAAGTATGTAACAATTCTCATATTTCTTACTTTACCTAAAATGTCTGGCATTATATACAATGCCTAGGTATTCTATAGAATGCTTACGTTTCATGATTTGCCCGTAACACATATATTTTCTTCGTAAAGGCCTAAGGTACAAATTTTAAGACACAAATTTTGAAAATATTTTAATCGAAAGGTCTATTATGTCGGCAAATAAGAAATACAAAAACAGAGTGATTGTGAAAAACTCTTGTAATTCAAAATGATAAATCTCAAGCAACGTTAATATCAAGAGAGAAAAGTATCTGAGCTATTTTTCTACATTCTTTATCCAATGGACTGTCAATGTTACAACTGTTATGTTTTCTGGGAAATATATACTTGATTTAGCCTATGTATACTAGTATTTCTCAGAAAGGAATTTAAGATTACCTGTATGGTGAAAGGCCTATTTCGGGACCCTCCACATATCTTGAGTTAGGTGGCAATAGCATTAGACTGTCCACGTCGGCAAGGCTATCGCTGTCCAAGCCATCATTGCTGCTATCGTCGAAGTCATTTCCTGCTGACAGAATTCCATCATCTCGATTCTGGAAGATGTAAGGATAACGGAATTCTGGAGCAGGTGTCTCTGGATATCCACTAATGCGGTTGGGAACCTGGAGAGAGAAAGATAATTAAATTAAATAACAGTTAAAATGAAAGTTTTAGATTTCAAATAGATGAACGACTTGCTTTTCTTCAACATTAATTGCTTTACAAAACTGTAAATAATTTCTTTAACACAAATATTGTTTTACTCTTGTTTATTTGTTTTGTGGAATATGCGATTTTTATTTGTTTTGTGGATATTTTCAATCTTGTTTTACTCTTGTTTATTTGTTTTGTGGAATATGTGATAAGTAAAATATTATGTATGATAATTTCTACAGAAGCAAAGGCGGATGGGACATTATTCACATGCCTTTGTAAATACTTACTGGTTTTAATCGTTTAAACAACTATTGTTCTGAAATATTTCTGGAAACAAGATACAATAGGTTAGTGGTCTTTGATGCGACCAGAGAACACACTTCAATTAGATAAAAACGAATAAGAGTAACATAACGGAAAATTAATAAATTGAGCTAATTTATTTACGATGTGATATAAATTTAATTCAAAGATTTGAAGATACAGATTTGATTAATCTTCGTTCTTACTAGTCAGAAAATAAACGCACTCATTTACGAATATGTACGCTAAGAGTTTATCTAAGAGGCCTTTACCCTCATTCAAATCACAATGCTGGGAAGTATATTAATAATACGTGAGCAGCTTTTTTTCGCAGCTGAAAATTACAAAGAAAAGAACTCGATTGACTGATGAACATCTACAATCCTTGATGAAGATAATTTCTAGTAATTTCTCTTCAGTGCATGGACATTATACAGACAAATTTGTACTTACATACAAAATTTATAAGTAAAGGTATGTATTTTAATTTATGCGTCGAAGAAAAATTTAATAAGTACGAAAAAGAGACTAGGTTTTCTTTTTCAATTCTTTTGTCAAACTTAAAAAGTTTTCTCTGAAAACTTAGAAAGATTCCCTGTTGTGTTTATTTTTAAAATAAGTAATTTAATGAGTAAATAAACATATTAGAATCATCTGAGATAAATATCGGAGCAAAGAATCTGCCAAAAACATTTGTTTGCTCCTGATGAAGAAAGACTTTGTTCGCCCTCGAAACCGATAGAGTTTCTGTGCTAAAAATCTACGCCTAACACAGGTTGTTGCTTCAATTGTATGATTTATTTGAGGCGAGTTTCTCTTCTGTCTTAGTAGTAATACTGTTGGTAAGAAATGAGTGCAATGAGCTAAATACCACTAATATTTTTAAAAGTGTTGCTAATAGTAGAGCCGCCTAACCGAGATAATGGTTAGCGACGCTGGCTGCCGTACCGCAGGCACGGGTTGGAATCCCAGAGAAAGCATGAATGTTTGTAAATGTATAGTGTCTGTGCGACATGGGGTGAGCCGAAAGTCCTCTCGAGAGGTCAGTGCTAGAGGAAGAGGGATGGGAGATTCTCGGGCACGTTTTCCCGGGATGCAAACTATCAAAATTGGTGGCGAAATCGAGTAAGGTCGTACTGTCAGCTGTATGGTGCTTAAGGCTCTTGCCAATGACAGGATCAACCTTGCACGTCTTGCCACAATGCATTTCGTGGGTTTGTTCTGATGTCACTGTCAGACAAGAGAGATTAGTCACAAATAATAATAGTAGTAATAGTGATAATGAAATTATTATTGCTAAGAGTTTTCCTTTATATCTGTTGCATAATGAAATAAAGCTCACTGTTTCAGGTTTTGTTTTTCATATGTGTACATTTAAAATTTGTACTCTTAAATATTTAGTCTAATACCATCTCAAACTTTTCTTTATTTCTTAAAGGGAGTTAATTTTCAGGAGCTTTTTTCTTGTTTTAGGTTTGGCAGTCAGAAAACTATTTCGATTCTAGAAAAACTGAGTTCCACTAACTACATACTATTCTATCTACTGTATAAAATACAAATTTACGTACGTTTCTCTTCTCCACTGTTGTTGCCCTACCACTGAAGCTGTGATGATTCACCTGTAAAAATAGTATTAAAATGTTTTTACGCTTTCTGCTCTTTCAAATTCTATCTAATTCCCGAAAAACAGACTAAGACTGCAAGATCATTCAATTTTTCTAAAGAAACTAAATATTTCAAGTTCCTAGATGTACCTTTCTTTCAAATGTTTTAAAATTAATATATCGGATGTCATTTATAACACAGAAGGGAAAAATGAACACTAGTGAACTTCAGGTTTTCCTTTTCATGAATAAATTGCTTAAAATTTATTAGAAAAGAGAGTTATGCTAGATATTAATTATTCATAAAACTTTATTATTTATTAAAAAATTAAATATCACTTTAATAATTTATAGAAAAAAATCTTTTGTTCAATTAATTTTCAATCAGAAAGTCTTTTGTTAAGTTTGAAAAATGTGGTTCAGGTAAGAAAAAAGTCGAGTAAAATACCACTAATATTTTTGTTTCTGTTTTCATTTACAGACATATACTTTTAGAAAGCATTTGGGTTAACACCACTTTGGGCTGAACATATTTAAAAAGAGCATATCTTTAGAATTTCCGATAGACAGTCTCACGCGCTGAAAATAAAAATATTTTATTCCCTACAGTGTGCCACGACTCGCTTTGAAATCGTTGAGTTTATTTCATTAAAGTTTTGCAAATATGAAATAAACAATAAAACAAATTCCAGATTCCAAATTCGGGGTTCCAGGTGCTCATATTCGGGTGGAAGGTTACGTTATTCAAAATTGGATGGTTCTAGGTATCGCTGTTTTTCACAATGCGAGAAACACACTTACATTCATACAGATTCTTTATTATTTAATTTCTTTAAATATAACGCAAGGAGATAATAATATTTGGTAGCAATAATTTGAAAGTGATTCAGACTTTTACAGTGATTCAACGCGTAATAGACTAATAGCCCTTTTCTGGCTAACGCCAAAGTAAATGGCTAAAAATAAATGAAGTACGAGTAATAATTATTCGCATTAAAAATTGCTGGGCATAATTCATTACTAATCTATTATGAAACTCAGATTATACGTTTTATTTCAGAGATAAAATAACAGTTTTAATATATTTTCTGACAATTATCTAAAGAAGGTGATAGTACTATTGAGTGCTTTATTACGAATACGTTTTTTCACGTGAGCTTTTAAAAGTTCGTTCATTTTCTAAGTAAAATGCCATAATATTATTTCTACCATAGTGATATCTAAAATTCAGTTATGATGCTGTTAAAAGAAAGGACTTTTTCTTAGTACATAGCATTACAGTTAAAAAAATCGTTCTTTGTCTTTTAATTTTATTTTAAAATAAAAATATAAAAAATTAACTTAACTTACTTCGAAGCGGAAATTTTAAGTAATATTCTTATAATTTAACATTTTGGTTCTAATATAAAGTATTAAAATTTACTTCAATAGTTTATTTTTTCATCGAATGTGTGCGTGTGTGTGATTATGGCAAAGCCTCGAGGGCTATCTGCTTAAGGGGAGGGATGCCTTCGTGGAGAACTTTCTAAGGGAAACTGGCTCGTATACACGTTACACATTTTTCATCGAATGAAATAATGCAAAAGAATAGCAAACGCCGTACATAATTTCAAGGAACTACTGAATTAATATTGATAAATTGGTACAATAACTAAATTGGCTCAAAATTTTTCGCTAATATCTGTTTTACAAATTATAAAGAAAAAGTTTTTATTACATATCTTCTTAAGAAAAAAGGTTGCTAAACTTTGCACTGACGCCTTTTCATTTACTTACACATTAAGTGCCGAGATAAACACAAAAAGGTTTTTAGTTTTTGTTGGTTACAAAAACTAAATTATAAATTTTATTCAACTATTATAATATAACTTTATAAGGTATTTCTCTCGCTTTCCTAGCGTGCCAATGTTCTAACTAATAACTAAAAAAAAAACATTTACTTACATCGACTGTTTGTTGTTGATACCTAATGACCTCCACTTCTAACTTAATGTTTTATATAGCGTTCTAGAGCAATTGTACTTGCATATAAATTGGAGTGAAGAGAACAAAATCAATAAAAAAAAATTTTTTTTAAATCTGAAAGCCTTCAGATTTTATATTATGCCCAGAAGGGCTCTTTTTCATTTATACACAAATACACGTTTCGATGACATTTGGGCTAACTCCACTTGCTTCCAGTAACTTCCAGTAGTCAATCTTGCACGCTGGAGATAAAAACGTTTTGGTGTGTGTGTATGATTATGACAAAGCCTCGAGGGCTATCTGCCTAAGGGGAGGGATGCCTTTTTGGAGGACTTTCTAGAGGAACTGGCTCGTATACACGTTACACATGGGGAAACCACGAAAACGCCCCATGCGCCAGCCGTTTCGCGGAATTCGAACCTCGTACCGAACTACCAGTGTTCAGCGTCTTTACCGCTCGGCCGCTGGTGGGCCCTAAAAATGTTTTATTCTATACAGTGTTATCACTTTGGAATCACTGAAATTTTTAATCAAAAATTCGTTAAAGTTTTACAAAATATGAAGTAGATAATAAAACAAATTCGAAATTCAGACTTCCAGGTGCCCATATTCGGGTGAAGGATTACGTTATTCAAAACTTGATGGCTCTAGGTACCATTACATTTTCACTGCGAGAAACATACATACATTCATGTAGATTCTTCATTATTTAATTTCTTTAGATATAATATTATTTCTTTATATTATATATATTTTATTTTCTTATATTATATATATTTATTTTAGATATATAGTTCTTTAGATATAATGAAAAATGAAACTACGCTTTTAGTGATTCGATGCAAAATGACGTTTCGGGACTAATAGCCCTTCTGGGCCTACGTCTCTTTGGAATAATAATAAATTATTATTATTAATAACAAAAACTGGTTGATAAATTGGAATAACATTACAGCTGCTCGTAGCTAAATTTTAGGCCCTATGGTAAATTCGTTTTGGAATTTTAAGTTTAATGAAATGGAAAAAATCTTTAAAAAATAGCAGGCCTAAATTTAAATGTCTGAAAAGAATTTTTGAGTTTTTTCTAGCAACTTTTATACTTTTAATTTATTATTTTCTTTTAGCTACAGAGGTATATTAAGCAAATAGAAAATAATTTCATTGTTTAATTTTCTTGAAACAATAGTTTTTCATTAATAGTATTTCAAGGACCTAAAAAAATTGTTACTTTTCTACCGCGTAAAATTTATTTAAATATAATCTGATAAATGAAAAAAAAAAAAAAAATCTGAGAGTTTTCAGATTTTACGTTACACCCGCATTTTAACCTTTTGGGTGTTATCTTTATTTATTAAATATCATGTTCTTGGCAATTCAACAGCAATATCACAAAATATTTAAATGAGCACATCTAGAATTTCCGGTAAACAGTCTCGCGCGCTGGAGATAAAAAAAAATGTTCTTTCCTCCCCCATTACAGTGTTGCCACTGCTTGCTTTAAAATCATTAAGTTTTTAATCAAAATCTAATAAACGCCTTACAAAATGTGAAATAGAGAATAAAATAAATTTCAAATTCCAAATATGGGCAGATGCCACCCAAATCGGGTAGAAACGTGATTCAAAATTTCATAGCTTGTAATGAAGTAAGTATGCATTTTGTCTACGGAAAAGTGACAACCCAATAATCGTAATTTGTCGGTTGTTCGGATGTACTATACATATATATAGTGCATAGTATATACATATATATAGTGCATAGTATGTACATATATATAGTGCGTAGTATATACATATACATAGTGCATAGTGTATAGTGGACACTATAGTGCATAATTAGTCCAAATATCTAAAAAAAGTTTACTGAATTTGCCTAAGTAAATGCCTAATATAACGGATTATTGATAATACATTTTAGTTTTCGAATGTTCTTATTTTCTTTTTTCCTGGGAAACGCTTAATAAGAATAATGGAATTACGCCGAGAAGATAACTCCAGTTTTCAATACGCTCAAAAGCGCCGTAAGTCACTCGGAAATCCTGTGTTTGCTTATTTTGGAACGGCTCTCCAACAGGGAAGAAACAGCCTTGAACTCACTCTCTCTTCAGAGCTTTAGACCCTGCTTCGCTTTTCTATGTCAGAGCGACAGAATTCAGGGTCAACCGCGCCTTATCTCGTCCTCGAAAACTTGGTCTCCTTGGGATTCACCCAGCAGGTTGACACCCTCTTCCCTGTGATCAAGATAGAATAGGCCGAGCCCTACCCAACCCTGATAAAATGAGCCATCCTTCGTCCTTGACGGATCATCTCGCTCTCCCCAATTTCTCAGTCTGACCTTCGGGTTTTCAGGATGACCTGCGTTGACCTCTACGGGACCTTCTCGCACGCATTTCGAGGTCTCCTCAAACACTGCTTCCTGGAACACAGGAAGAATATTAACACAAATAAACTGAAAACAGCTAGATAACAATAGGTTAGAATGAGAGATAAGCATAGCCTTATCAGCAAAATGCTTTCATTTTACGATAACTGTACACACGAATTTTTATGAACATAGCTTTATGCCATAAACTACTTAATTCATATTCTCCTAATTTAAATATTTCAATGATCAGGAAACTCTTATCAGATTTTTATAAAAATGGTCTTTTTCTACGAACATTTATTTAGCATTTTATTAGTTTATATAGTATTATTAGTGCACATAATATTTACACATTTAACCTCAGGAAAAAATAATTCTTAATTATTGTACCTAAAATATGAAAAAAAAAATGATTTATTTTCAAACATCAAAATTTAAAAAATATAATAAATAAATTAAAAAAAAATTTAAAAAAAAAAAAAAATGTTTTTCTTCGAAATACTTAATTTGGGCTGGTCAAATTTATTCAGTTCGTAGAATTGTTAATTATGCCAAGATACCGGTTGTTATCGCATCGACGGACAATTTTTCGTAGGGAGTTCCGAAAAGTACCTTATTCCACACCTAGACTTCAATTTCCGTACATTCAGCACTTTCTCATGGAAACTGAATACAGAATAAAATTA